TCAACTGGTCCAAACTTTAACTTATCGAGATCGATATAATATCCTTAATGTACAAAGTGTAATGAATGAACGAAAAAACCGCATATCTATAGATAACCAAATATGTCCAAAAATCAATCTATACATATATGAAATTAAACATAGAACATAAAATATATGAAAGTGACTAACTCCCACTAAACCACAAATTCCTCAAACTGTAAAACACCCATGTGAGCAACATGCTCATGAAAGACCTTGGGCGGAAGTCCTTTAGTTAGAGGATATGTTATCATGGAGTTTGTCCTTAAGTGTTCTATGAAAATATGTCCACTTTGTACTATTTCCTTAACAATACAGTTGATTTATTGTCACAATATAACTTAAGTGGTCTTTCAATGCCTTTCACAATTTGTAGCCCTGTGATAAAAATTTTCAGCCATATTCCATGATTTGATGCCTCATAGCATGCTACAAATTCTTGACATCCTGCAAAATCTGAGTCAGAAAACCCAGCGATCTCCAACTGGTCTGACCTCCTGTATGTGAGCATATAATCTTTTGTTCTCTTATATTATGACCCTTTTTGTTGTTTTTTAATGGTCTATTCCTGGATTGCTTAAATATCTGCCTAGAACCCCAACTATATATGCTATGTGTGGATGCGTACATACTTGGGCATAGATCAAACTCCCTACAACTGATGTATAGGGAATCTTTTGCATTTCCTCAATTTCCAAATTCCCTTTGGGCACTGATTGAGACTAAACTTGTCTCCCTTTAAACTTGTGATACATATAATCATCAACAATATTCATCTTGAAGCCAAATGAGTTTCATACCTTCTGGTAATGGGACAAGTTCCCAAACCTTATTGTCTTGCATGGACTTATACTTCTCCTTCATTGCTTCAATCCACTTTTGAGAGTTAGAACCTTGTATAACTTGACGGAAGTTAACTGGGTCATCTTCTATTATATCATTATTTTCCTCATGTTCCTAAAGAAATACCATGTAATCATCTGAAATAGCACTTCTTCTTTCTCTAGTGGATCTCTACAAAGTTATTAGCTCATGATGCACAGGTTCTTGAGGATCTTGAGTTTGTTCTTCATGAACAACCAAATCATATTGAGTAAGGGGTTCATCAATAATGTCTTGTGGAGGTTCCGAACTTACTTTATCAAAAGTAACTATTTGAATCGGTTCTGGAGTTGTTACCGATTCTTCCTCCAAGACAAAGTTCCTGATTTTATTCTTCCCCCAAACTCAATATCCTCAAAGAACGTAGCAGTTCCCGTCTCAAAAATTGTCTTTAATGTGGGATCATAAAATTTATACCCCCTGAATCTTTTAGCATAACCAATAAAATAACTACTTACTATTCAGGAGTCCAATTTCTTTTCATTTGGCTTATAAGGCCTTGCCTCAGCTGGACATCCCCACACATGGAAATGCTTCAGACTAGGCTGTCGCCCAGTCCAAAGCTCATAAGATGTTTTGGTAGCTGCTTTAGTTGGTACTCTGTTTAGAATATAAGTTGTCATATTTAGTGTCTCTCCCCAAAGTGATTCCAGTAAGGTGGAATGACAAATCATACTCTCTACCATATCTTTAAGAGTGTAACACAAGCCCAAACGTCACAATTTGATGTTACCTGAGCACTTATGTCATAATGCACTTGAGTGAGTATTTTCAATTTTACGTTTAGTACCACATGATTCTGTATTAAGGGTTTCATTATAGGTGGCCACAATATCAAGTAAATACTGATTATCATAAATCAAAAGTGAACCAGTTCCAACAATATCTGAATTAAAAGACAAACTGAACTTATTGTTTCCAAATGAACACAAATAACCTAATTTGTCCAAATAAGAAACTGAAAACAAATTCCGTCTAAATGACGGCATAACAAAAGTTTCTTTCAAATCCAAATAAAAAATCAGTACTTAATAACAATTTAAAATGTCATATAGCTTCCACCTCTATCGATTTGTCATCTCCAACATAAATTCATCTTTCAGAATCAATTGGCTTCCGGTAGTTTAGGCAACCCTTTCTTTTCACGCCAAGCATGATATTTAGCACATTTCTTCTTTACGTGTTCAGTCTTATTGCAAAAGAAATATTTGTTTTCTTGAGTTTGTTTCTTTTGTTCTGGACCCTTAGCACCTTCTTTCTCGAGATCCTCTGATCTCTTTCTTTTGCCCTTAGCCTTGAAGGTGCTTGCAAAATGAGCACTTTCTGTCTTGTCTTGCTTTAGTCTTTCCTCTTCTTGTACGCAATGTGAAATGAGCTCATTAAGAGATCATTTATTCTTCTGACAATTGTAAGATACCTTAAATTGATTAAACGTTGCAGGAAGAGAAATCAACACCAAATGAATGAGCAAGTCCTCTGAGAGTTCAAGCTTTAGTGCCTTGAGTTTAAAAACAATATTAGACATGCTTATAATGTACTCCCTGATATTTCCTTTGCCTTGATATTTCATGGAGATCAAGTTCTGAAGAAGAGAGCTTGCCTCCGCCTTATCGCTTTTTGCAAAGCGCTGCTCAATTTCAGCAAGAAATTCTTTAGCACTTGTGATGTTTTCAGAAATAGTGCTCCTAAACACCTCCGGGATGCCACGCTTAATAATCATTAGACTCATACGATTTGAGCGATCCCACTTCTCATAATCTCTTTTCTGTTCAGAGGTACTTGAATCCGTAGGAGTAGGGGGTTGCTCAGTCCTTAACACAAGATCCATATCCATGCAACCAAGAACAATATCAATGTTCTCTTTCCAGTCCTTAAAATTTGTTCCATTGAGGACCGAAACATAATTTAAATTGGTAGATACATAAGCAATTGTAGCTGAATTTAGAACACGAGAAATAAACTAATTATGCTCACATTATATAAAAAATAAATAATATATATTCAAATAGTGGTTTAACCCATCTCAAGATACTCAATGCACCATCAATATCAAGTCTTTGGACAGTAATATTAACTGCTAGAGGTATCTTGTTGTAATAATAAAACATTGACAATAAAGCACGTCCAACAACAAACCAGTCTTTGGATTGATTTATCATCGACAAAGCAAATCCTTATAATTATCACATGTTTATCATTACAAGTGTGTATGCAATTCGGTCAAATATTAATCTTCCTTTGGGCCGACTAATACTCGCATGAATATACACAAACACTAACATTCAATATTTTTCATGAACTGCCAAATTCAAGAGAAGTTACTTTGGTGACTTCTTGACTCAATTTTCTCACAAAAAATATTAAACTACCAAAAATTGAATATTTTATTTATATAACAAAACCAAATATTTAATATTTGCAAACTAATTCAAAAGAGAATCATCTCATTAGAATTCTACTAAGGATGAACGCCTCCCTAAAATCTCATTAGGGATGAACACCTCATTTGAATAAATTAAAGAATGAAAAAAGGCCTCATTTTCCACCAATACATAAAGGATGAACATCTCCCTAAAATCACACTAGGGATGAAACGAGAGATAGTTCGAAGTCTCTTTAGCATACTGTTGTAAACCCTAAAAGGGAATTAAACAGTAATCAGTCAAACCTTAATTTAACATCAACTTTTCCTTAAATTCCTAGGGGATAAAGGCAATAAAATAATAACAGCCATACATGTGGAAACATTCACCAGTTGCCTAAGATCCTCTATGTTGGGAATTCCCCAAACACCACCCCCAATTCCAAACCCATAAAATTAAATAAAAACAAAAACAAAAGATTCAAAGAGAACAGAGAACCCAATACAAGAAAGATTAAAATTTGAAACACTATTTCTTTCTCAGTAAAACTTGAAACTTAAACTGAAACAAAAGGGAAAAACGAAGAAGAAGAAGAATCCATAGCTTCCTCCACGGTTCCATCAGCAAGCAGAATCAGATTGGGGATGTTACCCCCAAATTTAAATTTTAGGGTTCACGAAAATTAGAGATTATTCTCCACTTAGGGTTCATGAAATTGGGTAATTTGAATTGTTTAAAACAAAATTAATCCTAATTTTCATAATTAGGGTTCTATAAATTAAACGAGACATGAATCAAATATGGGCGGCTCGATACCAATTGTTGGAAAATTAATAATAATAATAATAATAATAATAATAATAATAATAATAATAATAATCCTGATTTTGATTCTAACGATCAAACATAAACATAATCTCATACTCGATAAACATGTTGTAAACCTGAATGCGAAAGCGTACTCGAATTAGCCATAACGATGATGTCTTTATAGAGCACTATATTGATCTTAGGGTCTTCCACCTGAAGAGCACCTGTATTTCTCTCTTGATTTTCTCTCTTGATGGGGATAGAAAGAAAGGAGCGGGACTGATACTTACGCTTTGTGTGTGCTCCCAGAAGGGGACATGACCCCTTAAAATAACCAGAATTAGGTTAATTACTTAAGTTTTAGTATTTCTAATTTGGTCCCTCATCAAATTAGAAATTGCTTAATGGTTTTTACACAATTTTATTTTCATGACCTATGCCTTTAGTCAAAACTTTAATTTAGTTATATCACTCTATTATTTGACTTAATAAATAATGACCCTAACACATTTAAATCATGTAATGACCCAAATTTTGTTGTTTACACTCTCAATTTCTTTCTATCTTATGCAACATATTACATATCCATCGTCACTTTTAACTGATTTTCTGTTTCTGTCTCTCTCAGACCTAGTCGTATTCACGAAAACATTTTCCTTTCTTTTTCTTATCTGCAAAGCAATCTAGATTTTACTTCTGTTATTCTTTTGCATCTTTGAATTTGTCTCTAGACATGCTCTCCTGTTATCCGTATTGCATAGTTTGTTTTAACTCTTATGCTTTTGCATATATTTCAGTTTCCTATGTTGCATTTTGACCAGTGCATTAACTTTCTTTCTTGTTTCCTTTTCTTTGTTTCAACAGAAGTTGTATCCCCACACACCTGTTCATAATTGTATCATAAAGAAAATTGACAAAATAGACATGGGAACTACTGCGAGAGGTTGTCCCAGCCATTCAGAACAACCAATGCAATTGAAGCCACCAGGGTCACCATTCAGATGCAGTGGATGTCGAGAAGTGGGGTTTGGACGTAGTTACCACTGTGGTTTCAATAACTGCAGTTACATCCTCCATGAGGAGTGTTCAAATGCTGCTTCCCTTGCCTTTCATCCATCTTTCCCTAGAAGCCATTTTGAGTTATATGAGAAAGCACCGGGACACCGCGGTAGATATTGTGATGCTTGTGGAAAGGATGTGCTAGGGTTTGTCTACCATTGCTCCCGTACAGGTTATGATTTACATCCATGCTGTTTAAAGCTGAAACATAGCATTTCTGATGAAGAAGGGCTTGTGACCCTTAAACTGTGTCAGAAGGTTCCTTCAAAGTGTGTCAAGTGTAAGCATAGGAATGTTGTGGAGGGAATCAAAGGGTGGTCTTTTGTATCTTCAGGTTCTGGGGGTAACTATTGTTACCATGTGTCGTGCTTCAAGCAACTAATTCTTGAGAACTTGAATAAAGGTTATTTTACTCAAGAAACCGATTCAATTGGGATGAGTGACAGGGAGTACTCTGAACTTGCACTGAGAAGCATTGAAATGGTACAAAGTGGTAGTGGACGAAGTTCAAGGAGGTCAGGGACGATTAAGAAGTACACCAAGATTGCTGTGTTGATATTTAAACTAATATTTTCAGCTGTTTTTGGAAATCCTATAACTGCCATTGCTTCTCTTGTGGAAGCTCTAGTTTTAGATTGACCAGGAAATCCTACAATTGTTGTTGCTGGGTTCTGAAATTATGGCCACTGTTTGGAGTTTGATATTAGATTAGTATCACAATGGATGGATAAAGGTTGTTAATATGTGTGCAGATACGATGTTGAGTGAGAGTGCCACGTAGAGTTCAATTTATTTTGGTTTTGAGAATTTTCTGCATTAATAAAGTATAAATTCAAGCTCTTGAAGTTGTTGGTTTTTGTAAGAGAAAGTATATTTGCTTGCATGAAAATGTTGTAGGTAATGCAAACCAGTTTCTTCTTTATTCGTGTTCTCATTATGTCGTTTTCAATGTGATGTAAGTTACTCCAAGTTTATGTTCAATTAGTAATTCATCAGTTTTGAAAAAAATAAAATAAAATGAAAATGTACTTGACATTTTGCAGGTCATGTGTATAGATTGATCTGATATAAGTAATATGAGAATATAATAAACAGATTTTATTTTTCTGAAAAGGACTTCTCTAATAATATTTAATTAAGCTCTCAATATTTTTCTAATAACAGAAAAATCTAATCAAAATGAATAAATGTGAATTGATGAACCTTTCACAATATTTTCTTTTCCTGACAAATTTCGTAATATGTGATTTTTAGAAAAAAAAAAAAAAAAAAAAGGTATACATTCAATCGAGTATGAAAAAGGGTAACATATAATGACGTACCTGTGACTTCAATATTTCGAACCTATCATGATCACGACTCAACGAGAAAATAAGAAAATAAGATATCATTAAGTTTGTTTAAATTCTGAAAATATTGAAAAGTTATACTTTGACATGAGAACTAAAAGCTAAAAGTAAAAATCAATACCAGTGCTTAAACAAACTTCTACATGCATGTTACAAGACTTGAAACAACGATGCAGGTTAATTTCAAGCTCATTCATATTTTAATATTTCATTGTATGGCAACAACCAAGAGCAGAATCTTATGATACTTGAACAACTAGATTCAGAGGAATGAAAACAACTTTTCAACTTTGCAATACCAAATAAAAAGGCTGAAACACACTTTAATTTGGTCATATTGTTCTCAATCCTTCTTCCCTCTTCCTTGAAAATAACTCTAAATTTATCCAGCTATAAAAAAAATATAAACTAATTTATAAAAAATATTGTATTTTTTTATTTTACTTATAAGTCTTTACGATAAAATTTCGCCATCTTATATTGGTTTGTTAAAGAATTAAAGAGAAATGTTTCTTTTGTTAAGATAAAACGAAATATATTCTCCTTCCCAGTTTATTTTCGAAAGATTTTGTTTAGTGTCCTTTGTAATTAAGATACTAGTTAGCAAAATTATTTTTACACTATTCCAAACATTAATGGGTTATATTTGTTTTAAAATGTTTTTATTAGATTATTATAAATGAGATGTGTACCCACGAAGAAAACCCTCGAATATATATAGAAATACCAATACAGGTGACAATTTAAAAAAAAATATATATTGAGTACAACTGCGTACTAGCTGCATATTGAATATTTGAAATATTGATATGAGTATAATTTCTTTCACTGTTCATATCTTGATTGATTATAGATTTGAATGATGAATGTAAGTTTTCAAAGTACTTGCTTTTATACAAAGAGAAAGAATAAAGTATAAACGAAGAAGATCCTTTATGCAAACTTAAAAGTGTAATAAATTAGCATATTGAATATATTAAAATAATGAGTGGGTGGGTATCCCTGTTTAAGACTTTCAACTTGTGCTTTGTTCATTCAATCGAAATAAAACTACGACATTCTTCAGCGCTCACCGATTTATTCGGTCTACACGCTACGCAAAATGTCATTTGATTTTAAAAAAAAAAATTACCCCCCATATATGCCAATCATTTTCGACCGTACAAGTGTGGATTTGTGGAATGAAAACAGTGGAAAATTGCAACAATCACGTCCTAAGGTTGGAAGGAAGCATCCAATATAGTCCGCAAAACTAAAGAATAAACAAACCAGGACACTAACTAAACGTGGGACACTAAACAGGAGAAGGTTTCGATACCATTTCATCTTTGTTATGAGTTATTAAAGAATATGTGCTCTTGGAACCGACTACTAACACTATAAATTACTAGGGAGAATCAAACTCTTTTCATCAAAGCACTAGCATTTGCAAACTCATACACAAGCCTCTCTCCTTTCCTTGTCCATAAAAACTACCTGCCATTTTGACCTCCAGTAGAACAGAAAGATGAGTGTAGAAATGTTGGATGGTGCCACCATAGTGAACTTCCTCCAGGATGAGGAAGCATTCAGTGTGTCAGTTTGTAAGCGGTTTGCTCACCTTGACACAGACAATGATGGCCTTCTCTCGTACGCAGAGATGTTGAAAGAGCTGCAAAGCCTGAGGGTGCTGGAAACCCACTTCGGTATTGATGTGGAGCCAGACCCGGATGAGCTTGCTCGTGTCTATGAATCCTTGTTCGTACAATTTGATCATAACTTGAATGGCACCATTGATCTGGACGAATTCAAAAAGGAAACCAAGCAGATGATGCTTGCCATGGCTGATGGATTGGGTTTCTTGCCAGTTCAGATGGTCTTGGAAGAAGACAGCATCCTCAAAAAGGCTGTTGAAAGGGAGTCCAATAAGGTGGTTGCTTAAGTACACTACTATACTCAAGCTTCTGATTGACAGGGTTCTGCTAGTATTGTAACATTTTAATGTCCTGTTAGTTGCTATTACTGCGTCCAGTAAAACGTCTCGAGCTGCTTTTTTTTTTCTTTTTTTTTTTCTGTTTTTCTTCTAAACTCCTCATGGAATGAACTAAACTATCTCAATCTGAACTTTTTTCGTGTACAAAAAGGAAATTTGCGCCTGGAATCACTGAAATTATGAGTGTCTAAATCCAAAAGCCCCATTACAACCAGTCTAAATTTTTTTTTTCTTTTTCACATCCTTTATTATACACTTCTTTTTATCTCTTTTATTTTACATCACATCTCTTTTTCTCTTTCTTCCCATCCTCCTCTTTCTTGAAGTGTATATTTGGTGTACAAATATTATTTTTCAATTAGTGTTTTCATTATTATTTGAATTTCCTAATAGGCTGTAATAAATAATTTGACAGTACGCAAACATGAGATTCCCCATGAGAGGAATTTCAGTTCTCAAATTAATGGTCTATGGGTTATCCATGCTCTATTCATCAAATTACTGTAATAAGTTACAAGAACATATACATCTCAGGAGCCTGAATGAAGGAAAGAAGCCCTTCACCAAACAAGTCAAACAGCGATACCAGGATACGTCCAGAATTAAGCTCGTCCTTCCAAACCCGGGTGAGAGCAGCAGCAGATGTCTTCAATGACTGAGTATCATCCCTATTACTTCGGAGTTCGCCATCTAAGGAAGTCTCAATTTTCATCTGTGCAGAAGATGATGAGCCAATTATTGAATCAACTGAAGAAGCTTGAGTCACCGTCTCCTCTTGCTTATGAACTGGTGAGGAATTCATTAGGACCACAGCAGGCTCACCCTCCGTAGCTGCTTTTTTCGAAGTTGGCTGCTGTTCCGATTGCTCAGGACTTGCCTTGCGTTTACCTTAATAATCAATCATGCAAAGGAGTAAGTATACGAACAAATCACGGAAAAGTACAATGCAGATAATTGATACTCTGGTTCTGACAAAACTACAGACCAGACATGTGAGAGTGAGAGTCTCAATTGGACCACAGCAAACCTTATTAAAATAATAATCATAACATGATCAATAAGATAAAACCATTGGAAAGTCAGTGCCTCCCTCCCAGTACATCAGTTATTAAGAATTTCTATAGAAAATAACTACCAAGTAACTGCCCCAAGATTATCCTGACGCAAGTGGTCTGAAAGCATTAATTCTGTACATGAATATTTAGATGACATCCTATCCTAGAATAGAAACGTTTAGTATTCCAGTTCATCATCATGTTCCTGGTCAAATGCCCAGTTACTTATAATGAAAATATTTCATTTATTTTCATAAACATAAAACTTTATCATTATTTAATTATTTAGAAATGATAGACTAAAGTCAAGAAAAAATGGCAAGCATTCAATAGACGAGCAGATCTAGGTGTAATTTATGAGAAGATGTAGACCTTTCACAGTTGAAATGTTAAAAATCTATTGAGATGACTGGATTTTAGATATTGCGGCAGGAAGAGAGATGAAAGAGAATGAAGAATTAATTAATACACACTGATATGTACTACATTTTTTTATGCGGTGGTTATGTTCATAAAACCTAGAGCACTAGCCCACATTTATAATTATAATCCCAGCTAACTGCAGAAACAATTAGAAAAAGATAAGGAAATATGGTAAACAATCCAAAGAGGCAGTGAGGAAATAGGAAAAGTAAGTTTAGAGGATAACAATAAGATATTTTCATATATTCTAATAAAAATAATCTATTTACCTGATGAAGCTCTTTGTTTAAATTTAACAGTTGTATTTCTACATTTCAATTATAATCCTCCATACATGAATTTATGTTGATTTGGATTAAAATCAAATTTATTATCTCTATGCTATATGCTGGTATGATTTAGTAGAGACAATTAGTTATAGCGTCAGGTTCAAAAGCTTCAACCCTGATGTAGTTAGAAGCCAATATTGGCATGCAGATCCCTTCATTTTTTGTGGGTATTATACATATTTGTTTCCCTTTAAAGGCCCAAAAACAAAAAGTGCCTTCCCTCCAATGAATAGGCTTAAAATATGATACTAGATATTTCATGAACAAGGAAAATACTCACGAGATGAAGATGTCAGAACTTTTGCATTGGTCTTCCAGACACCATGAGGAGAAGGAGATGGAAAAGTTGGGAATATCTTTAGTCGATCATATATACACTGACCTGCAGCACGCTGAATGATAAATTACATTCAATTATCAGAATAACCACATTATACTGAAACTGACATTTTTCAGCTTTAAAAGCACCTATTTTTAACTAATAAGAGTCTGTATATGACAGCATATCTTACCAGCAAGGCTCCATAAACTCGCCAAGCTTCATGCCTTTTCATTTCATTTTTCTGCTTCTCAAGAAGCATCTCTGGTTCAAGAAGTCGCATATATGTTTCGAGGTTCGGCAGCAAAAGAAGGCGAACCTAACTCCATAGTAATGAGGAACATTACAGACATATCAGTCTCATATCATCAAACCTAACTTAGTTAAACTAAGAAATACATCACACCATACAAGGCTCTATTAAAATTAGTCATTTAAACCTTTAAATTCTAAATCAGTCACATTATTGAATTTATCATGAAATTGCATGTTCTTCCCACATTAAACATAACCTAGTGATAAAATGATGACAAGCATATATAGTCATTACATTGGAAAGTTATCATCTAAACCAGTAAAAAGCATTTTTCCAATTTCCAGCCTTTGAGCAACTCCATAATCACCAAGAACATGGGAGAGGCACATACCACGTTGGGTCCCAGAGCTCCTAACCCCTGAATTGCACCATAGTGTTGTGTCATTGCCTTCTTAGGATCCAAGAATGCATTCAGCAGTGTTTTGGTAAGCCGGGACTGGAGATTACTATAGACATGTCCAAACCTACATGAAACAAAAAGTTAATATAAGAAAAATTGCAATGAAATCAATAAAAATCCAATAAAAAAGTCAAATAATAATTCAAACAACATATGAGGTCATCAAGCAAAACTAGACTTTCCAGCCTACAATTCAATGATTCAACAGTTTGTACCAAATTCTACATCTTTGAAGGCGCTAATGACTACGGCAGGAAGTTGTCTGATAATTCAACAAAAGGAATAAGCTTTAACACAATAAATTTGAAGTGTGTCCTTGAACTGGATCTCCAAAAACATAGGTGAATTTGAAAGGTAATACACAATAAATTTAGTATTCTTTGGCCTTGCTACTGTGAAATCAAATGGCATGTAGAACAAATTGCAACAACCAACAAATAAATGGTATACTATACTGTACTAGCCGATCATGGAACACATACAAATAAATATAGAAAACTGCCTGTTTTCATAGATGCAAAACAAACAACAAAACAGATTGGGATATCTCACCTTTTGCATATTGAGGCAACTAGGTTAGCCGTAAAATCTCTAAGTTCCCAATGGTTGTCTGCCAACCTACTGCCCAACCTTTTAGCAACAAGGCAGGTCACAACAGATGGCATCAACTGGTGTAGCTGAAGCATCCAAAAACAGAAAGGGGTAAGATAAGATTTTAAATTAACTCGTTCAAGTGAACCAAGTAAAAACTAAATGGCCTTTCTGAAAACACAGTGGTGTTTGATCCATGTAGCTTACACAAAGATCATACTTTGTCAGCAAGAATATAAACAAATGTACTAAATCAACAAGAGGTGAACTTACATAAGGTTCAATATGAATGTGAGGATTAAGCAGAAGGCTACTAACAACTCGCATCAAGGCAAATAGAAGAGGAAAATTATTCAAACCGCGAGAAACCTGTCAAGAAATGAGAAGCATGCAGTCGTAATGAGCTACAATAAGGTGAAATTTCCATTTTATCGATTAACATAAAAAAAAAAAAAAATATATATATATATATATATAAATTATTACCTCATCGGCTATAAAGCATGTGAAATAAGGAACTAGTGGATGAAGTCCTGAATCAGTAGCCAAACTTACTAATGCTTCTTTAAAGAGAACTGAATCAGGCTCACTCAAAGTAAGTTCAGCAACTTTGTCGAAATACAGCTGCAAGAAACAATAAAACTGATGAACCACAAGATGTGATGAAACAAGATAGCTCGTGGTGGTTAAGAATTTTAATACCTGAAGCTCTCTGGATAATACATGCTTAACAGGCAATTTGATGTCAACTGGGAGGTCATCATCTTTCTGCTCATGCTTTTTTATATCAGAAGGAGCTGAGATTACTGCAAATAAAATAATGAGTAAATAATTATTCATAAAACAGGCAGGAGAGTACAAGTTGCAGGTAAATTGGAAGAGTTTACAAATAATAGATCTTGAAGCATTAAGCTGCTGAACAGTTCCTGTATGTTTTTGTTAGAATTATTATTAGGTAGTGGTTAGTAGTTGATGGTTGGTAGTTGGTAGTTGTTGTTTTAAATTCTGTAATCCTATATATATATATATATATATATATATGAGATCATAGAGTGGAGAATGACATCCCACTGAATTATAAATTTCTTTTTAACTCTCTTTACTCTTTTAACTTGGTATCAAAGCAGGTTAGTCCTGCCTTTCTGGCCACCGTCCGGCCACTTTTCTGTCACTTTCCGGCAACTTTCCGGCAACCGTCAGCCCCCCGTCCAATCACTTTTTTGCTTCTGTCCGACGACTTTCCGACCACCTTCCAGTGACCTTCCGGCCTCCGTTCCGCTACAGTTGTTTGCTGCGGCTATTCGTCAGTTTTCTTGCAAAGTGAAAATTGATACTTCCCTCTCTATCTAGTTCTATCTTGGGTGTTCTCCTTATAGGTTCCATTGTCTCCATCTTACATCTACGTTATTTAAAATTTAAAACATGTCGTCAGGGCCACAACCTCTTTTTCCGCTAATGATATCCAACGCCTTTATGATTCCGCTAATCGATTAGCCTCTCTCAAGCAAGTGGATAAAAATATGATGAACTTTATTCCTGAAGCTCAATCAGCAATTGAAGAATTAAAGATGTTCCTAGAGATGGATTCGTTAGAGGAGATAAGCAAAAGTTGGATAAATTCTATATGGTTATGACTCTCTGGGCTATGAATTCAGAATTTGATCATGTTAGAGATCAAATTTTAACTGGACAAGAAGTTCCTTCTATGGAAAGTTTGACTACAAGACTCCTTCGTGTTCTAACTCTCAAAGGAAAAAATAATCAAGAACTTGTTGAATCTTCTGCTATGATTTCTACTCGTGGAAGAAGAAGTCACGGCACTAGAGAAGGACGTGGAGGTAGAGCACGTCCTCAGTGCACTCATTGCAAGAGAATGGGTCATATCCTGGAAAATTGTTACTCTTTGCACGATTTTCCTAACAAAACTGTCAATTTTTCCAAATCTGAAATGGTTGAACCCAAGTTCTCTCACGAAGAATATCAAGAATATTTGAGGTTGAAATCCAGTAATCTAGCACAGTCATCAACAACCCCAAATTCATCAACCGCTTGCATTTCACAATCTATGGGAAGTCAAAATCCATAGATTATTGACTCAGGTGCTTCTGATCACATGTCTGGTAATACATTTTTGTTCTCTTCTCTCTCATTTTCTAAAACTCCTCATCTCATAACCTTAGCCAATGGATCTAAAGTAGCCTCTAAAGGAACTGGTCAAGTCTCCATTTCTCCGTCTTTAAACTTAAAATCTGTTCTTTTTGTTCCTTCATGTCCCTTCAATCTCATTTCCCTAAGTCAATTAATCAAATTATTGAATTGTTAAGTAACCTTTAATGCCAACTCTTTTGTTATACAGCAACGTGGTACGGGTTGACAGATTGGTGAAGGACATGAATCTGGAGGCTTATACTACCTTGAGACTAAATCATCTGTATCTTGTGTTGCATCCTTGTCTCCGAAACTATTACACGAATGTTTAGGGTACCCTCACTTGTCAAGATTAAAAAAAATGGTTCCTGAACTTCAAACTCTTCAAGATTTTGAATGTGAATCATGTCAACTAGGGAAACATATTAGGTCCTCTTTTCCTAAACGTTCTGAATCTAGACGTAGCTCTGTCTTTTCTCTTGTTAATTCTGATATTTGGGGTCCTAGTCGTGTCTCATCATTTGGCTATTTGTTACCTTCATTGATGAGTTTTCTAGGTGTACTTGGATTTATCTAATGAAAGACCGTTCTGAATTATTTCCTATCTTTAAGTCTTTCCTTAACAAAATCAAAAATCAATTTGAAAAAGTAATCAAAGTTTTACGAAGTGATAATGCCAAAGAATACTTTTCTACTGATTTCTCCACTCTCTTAAGTTCCCAAAGCATTTTACACCAGTCTACTTGTCCTCACACACCACAGCAAAATAGTATAGCAGAACAAAAAAAATAGACATTTGGTTGAAACTGCTCGTACCTTATTACTTGGTGCAAATATGCATGTTCATCATTGGGGAGATGTTATTCTTACTGCATGTTTTCTCATTAACAGAATGTCATCTTCTCTTGACAATAAAGTTTCACACTCTATTCTATTGCCAAAGGAGCCACTCTTTCATGTTTCTCCTCGTGTATTTGGTTGCGTATGTTTTGTTCATGATATATCTCCAGGTTTAAATAAACTATCAGCTAAAGCCATCAAATGTGTCTTCTTTGGATATTTTCGTCTTCAAAAAGGATATCGATGTTATTCTCCTGAAACCAAGAGGTACTACATGTCTGCTAATGTCACTTTTTTTTAATCAACTCCCTTCTTCCCTTCTTCTATGCAGGATATTAGTTCGGTCCAAAATGTCCTACCTATACCCTTAGTGGAGCCATTTGTACCTCCTCCTCCTAACACCCAAAATTCCACACAAAATACACCGGAATCCTCATCACTGCCTCTTATTACCTATCAACATAGGAGTCAAATTATCAGTCTCATGTCCCAATATGAGTCTTCCTCAGCAGTTCCTTCTCAATCATCCCCTGATATCACGATTCTTGATAATGATGACTCAAGTTGGCCCATTGTCATTCGCAAAGGTACTCGCTATACTCGTAATCCACATCCCATTTACAATTTTCTTAGCTACCATAGATTGTCTCCTTCCTATTTTTCTTTTGTTTCTTTTGTATCCACTATTACTATTCCAAAAAATGTGAAAGAGGCACTTGATCATCTTGGATGGCGACAAGCTATGGTTGATGAAATGTAGGCTCTTGAGCACAATGGTACATGGAACTTAGTTCCTCTTCCACCTGGGAAGAAGACTGTTGGTTGTCATTGAGTCTATGCCATTTGGACCAAAAGGTAAAGTTGACCGACTCACAGCTAGATTAGTAGCAAAAGGCTATACTCAGATCTATGGCCTTAACTACAGTGATATTTTTTCTCTTGTGGCCAAAATAACTACTGTTCGACTTTTCTTTGCTATGGCAGTTATCCGTCATTGGCCTCTTCATCAATTAGATATCAATAATGCTTTCTTGCATGGTGATCTTGAGGAAGAAATTTACATGGAGCAACCTCCTGGTTTTGTTGCTCAGGGGGAGTCTAGTTTGGTTTGTAAGTTACATCTTCTCTCTATGGTCTCAAACAATCTTCACGTGCTTGGTTTGGAAAGTTTAGTCACATTGTTCAAAGTTTTGGACTAAAACGAAGTGAAGCAGATCATTCTGTTTTTTATTATACTGCTTTAGGAAAATGTGTTTATTTAATTGTATATGTGGATGATATAGTCATTACAGGGGATGATGTTGATAAAATTTCTCTGCTAAAGAAACATTTATGCAATCACTTCCAAACTAAGGATCTTGGTTGTCTCAAATACTTTCTAGGGATTGAAGTAGCTCAATCAAAAGAAGACATCGCAGTCTCCCAAAGAAAGTATGCTTTAGATACCCTGAAAGAAACAAGCATGATTGATTGTAGACCAGTAGACAGTCCTATGGATCCAAATCAGATATTAATGGCGGATCAGGGTGAACCACTCTCTAATCCTGAGAGATATAGAAGACTTGTTGGGAAACTCATTTATCTCACCATTACCAGACCTGACTTATCTTTTTCCGTTGGAGTTGTCAGTCAGTTTATGCAAAATCCACGTACTGATCATTGGAATGCTGTCGTTCACATCCTAAAATATCTCAAAAAGGCTCCAGGACAAGGTCTATTGTATGAAGATAAAGGGGTACCCAAATATCTAGGTATTGTGATGCTGATTGGGTTGGATCCCCTATTGACAGACGCTCCACTACAGGATATTGTGTTCTCATTGGAGGCAATATTATTTCTTGGAAAAGCAAGAAACAAAATGTAGTGGTCTGATCTAATGCTGACACTGAATATAGAGCAATGGCATCTCTCACTTGTGAACTAGTGTGGGTGAAACAATTCCTTCATGAACTGAAATTTAGTGAGATCCAACAGATGAAGATGTATTGTGACAATCAAACAGCTCTCCATATTACCTCCAATCCGGTGCTTCATGAAAGAACCAAACATATAGAACTTGATTGTCATTTTATTCGTGAAAAATTGTTGTCTAAAGAAATTTGCACTGAATTTGTCGGGTCCAATGATCAACTTGCAGATGTGTTGACAAAGTCTTTAAGAGAACCTCGAATTGAATTTATTTGTTCCAAGCTTGGCACATACAATTTGTATGCTCCAGCTTGAGGGGGAGTGTTAGAATTATTATTAGGTAGTGGTTAGTGGTTAGTAGTTAGTAGTTGATGGTTGGTAGTTGTTGTTTTAAATGTTGTAATCCTATATATATATATATATGAGATCATAGAGTGGAGAATGACATCCCACTGAATTATAAATTTCTTTTTAACTCTCTTTCCTCTCTTATCTGTTTTGTTTGCGTGATATACATCTCCAATATTCAGAGCAAAATATATATATAATTATATGCACACACAAATATAAAACTAAATATCTCCAAAAATCAGTATATTTAATCAGATTTTTATAATTTTCCTAATTTCTAATTTAGAGTGACTTAGTGTGCATGAAGATGTTGATGATTTATCAATAAGGAAGGATTTTTTTCACATATTTTAGACCACAAAGATGACCATGCTACAATGATATAAAAATAAGAAATATCACTTAAATAACATTTCCCAATCTAATCAATAATTCAAGAAAATAATCTTGATATCACGAATCAAAGCAAGTCGTAATAACAAGCTGACAAGTATAACAAAAAACAAATCATACATCCAATGATTCCTCATTTCATCCAGCTAAATTTTAGTTAATGTACAACCTAGTGTTCATATCATTGTATCATGAATCACTCACCTATTAGCCAAAAAGTACTGGTAGCGCTCAAGTTAGAGACCTACCTTCTACCGGAGCATTTTCCGGAATAGCAGGTTGCACACCTTCAATAGCAAGCCAGTGGCATGTAACTGCAGTATCAAGGGGTGCTTTTGGTAAAGAAGCTTCAATAACCTATGATTAACAGAAACTATAATTTTAACGATGTGATGCACATGTTTAAATCCAAATGAAGTTAATCAGTAAAAGATTGAGCACACCCTTACATCTTTTAAATCTACATCCTTGTCATCAATATAAAACAAGTCTCTGTGTCCAAGAGCTCTTTTGAACCGTAAAGGACCACCAGATGCAAATCCGTATATTGGCTGTCATAAGTGGCAAAACTCGTGATAATGAGATTGGAGACAAGAACTATGCATTTGTTTTTCCCACTATGAAAAAAAATTCATAAAGGCTTCCATGAGGTAGTTCTAATATGTATCATTCTATTTGGAAATAGGAAAAACTCGTACAACTACAGTCCTCACTATTCACAACGCACAGCCAATTTCTCAGTTAGTAGATAAATGAGGCAAGTTATATCTTTCCACGACTTTTGAGTACACTACTGAATAATTTGAACAATGTAGATCAATTAGCTAGAGATTGAGCTTGTCTTTGCACATATCAAAATACCCATAATAAAGCATTTTTTTGCCGGAGACAATTTAATAATCATACAGCTTTAATTTAAATATATATATATATATATAATAATTATCTAATCTAACAAATATATGTGAAGAAGCACTGAAGATAAAACAAGAACGGAGAACTAATAAACTGCTTGTACTAATAAACTAACATAGACACGTCCTTGATTCACTTGATCGAAACAAAATTGTTTTAATTCGATAACTTGTGGATGGTTATAAGATGAATAGTGAAAAAATTGAAAACATTCCTCAAAAAAAAAAAAAAAAAAAAAAAAAAAAAAAAACTTAAAAACACCTTTTTATTGGCACTCTAAAATCCAATCACTTAAGGCGCATACTTACTTCAACATTCTTCAAGTTCAGTGCAACATCAACATCATCCGCTGTCAGAGTGGTTCTCTTAGAATGCCGCATGCACTTAATTGCCTCCTGAGGTTTGCACAAACAGTGTTAAGAGTTAGGTGAACAGAAGACTTCTTTAATCGCGTAAAATTAACGAAGCTACAGATAGAAGCACACTCAACAGAGTTGATAATTGCAAAAAGGAAAAGTGTGGAAGAGACCTGCATAATCTGGCGCATGCGGTATTCGACATCGGGAGCGACGGCGAGAGCGACTTCGGGAGACAAGATGTTGATCCCAATGCTCTGTGCGATAACTTCGATCGTCTCTTTGGGAACAATGCTCATCTTCAAACGCACGCTACTCTTGTCGCTTCCTCAAACTGAAAGATAGTTCGGAATTTGAATGCAAAACGAAACCCTAACGCACATGGCTTTTCATCATCGCATCAATTCCCAAACCCGTTCGTTGCTTTCTCTAAGTTGCCGTTCGAATTCAGTTACTTCTGGACTGTGTTGGAGTCCGATTCGCGACAGTGGCGCTTGTGGTGCGGTGGGAGTCTCTCGAGTGTCAAGGGCAGGGTGTGTTTGTTCGCAGAAGAGAAGCGTCCTCCATAGACCCTCTCTGAATATTTTCATATTTAGTATATATTTGATATTTTTAATTTAAAAACTTATTAAAAAATTAAATCATACTTATTTTATTAAATGTGAATTATTCAATAGTACGCTTTAAATTATTTCCAAATCATTTTTATTATACCTTTTTTTATTAATAGGGGTGATATTACCACCTCCCATACATCCTAATTTTATTAATATAATAATCATTAAAAGGGGTGATATTACCACCTCCCATACATCCTAATTTTATTAATATAATAATCATTAAAAGTATAATATAAATTAAAATTATTATTATCATATAAAATATAGTTATTGATTAATATAATAATCATTAAAAGGTTTAATAAAAATAAAAACAAATTAAAATTATTATTATAATGTAAAATATAATTATTGATGGATGGTTTCGGTGAATAGTGGTTTCAAAATAATTTTTTCCTTTTAGGTCTTATTAATCTCTAGTGGCTCAAACATACGTAATAATCTAATGAATTTAATTTCAATTAAGAATTATTGCAGGTATAATTTTAAAATAATTACTAAAAAAAATAAAATTATCAAAATGTAAATATAAAAGTAAGATATACGATGAATTACATTAATATTTGTCAAAATAACTTAACCAATCATTAAGCAATTCAAAATAACATCATATAACTTATTGATATTATTTTAAGTTGTCTATTTATCAGCAAACTCTCATAATAAACCATAAAAATAGGTTTCATTAAATTTTTTATCTTTTTTTTACCTCTTAACTATTAATTGAGTAAATTATGTTGATATATTCCTCGTGGTTTATGAAATATATCAGATAATCTTTTTTTCTTTCTATCTCAACACTAATACTTTGATTTGTTTAAAATATTACATTAAACTGATTTCTTTAATTATTTGAAAAACATATTAATTATTTGAAAAACATATTACATGATTATCACTGGTGGATTTTAATGTCATCCAAGGGACCAAAAATAATCTATTATATTTTTATAAATAAGAAAAATTACTTTTATGTTGGACATATACGTAAAAGTTATTTTGTTATCAGTGATTTTCTAACTAATGTAAAAAACGGTTTTTACATTAAGTTTTATAAAGTTTCACGTAAAAGTTACGTTTTAATCACGGTAAGCTTCTTTTTTTTTTTCTCTTATGACAATTGTAGCATCGATCAAATTAATTTCTCTCTAAGTTATATATTTAACTACACTCAGTCATAAAAATACTTATATTGTATGTGTCCCAAATTGACATTCGATTAAATTTGAGTTTTAAAATATTTTTTACATATTTGATATCAGTATTATGTGTGTTTCATCTCCTTTCTTTATGTTAAAATTGAATGTCTCTATTAGATTATTATTAAAATTGAATTGTTATAATATGTGATTATTCGTTTATGTGTTTGAGTGGATTATTTGTTTATGTGTTTTAATCCTATGTTTTTTGTTGTTTGTATATTAGAATATTTTATGATAAAAAAACGGACAAACATTCGAAGCAAGATAAGTTTTGATTCCAATGTTAAATTTAAATGCCTAGTATTTGAAAAAGAAAAAAAAAGTATTTATTATAATATTAATAACAAAAATAGTAAAAAGAGAAAAATGTTATATTATTAATAGACAAAAATAGTAAAAAAGAGAAAAATATTATATTATTATAATATTTATACTCTTATATTTAAATTTTGAAAATAAAATTATATTATGTTTTGATTTTCAATTTAATATAATAAGCTTGACTACTACTTTATCTTGTATTGAATGAGAGTCATAATTTATACGATATTACTGATTCTTTAACTGAAGTAATTATTTTTAATATTTGTTAAATTCATTTATCTTTATGTGTATTGTATATTAATAGGAGTCAAATTAATGTTTCAAGTATTTCAAGATACATCAATCTCTAATATCAGATCTTTCTAATACTTAATTTGTAGATTATTATTTATAATATTGCATTCTGTAGTTTAATTTTAGTTTTTATATTAGTTTAGACTTTATAATGTTTAACTTTTAAGTAGTTTTAGTCTTTATACTAATTTAACTTTAAATTATTACTTATTGAAAATCTAAAATTTGACTACAAAATAAAATAAATCGAATATTAAAAAAAGGATGAAATTTACAATAATAATTACATCTAACGTACGTATATTAAGTCAAATTTATATGTGACATAAAAAAATCAAAATAACATAGGTAAAAATTTTACTAATGATTCTTTCATATAATATTAAAGTAAATTTTATATATATTATTTTTATAATCAAAGTATAAACAAAATTAAATTATTTTCGTATAAAACACTATGAATGTAATAATGAGAGTAGATGTAAATATATAGAAGCAAAAGCAAGAATGAAACAAGATAAATACATTCTATTTCAAAATTCAAAACAAATACAATTTTGTTGCTTCATATTTTCAGAAGGAAGAATACAGAACAGGGATATAAAAGATACACACTAATCCATGACAATTGAGTCGCAATTTATGACCAACAAAAGGAAATGAATTGAACTAAAACCAGATTAACGAGAGAAGGGAATAAGAAAGAACTATAAACTTTTAAAAGCGACATTAATTTTCTGCATCAAGCTAATTAATTATTAGGTTTCTTTGGCAAAGCAAAGGAAGTGAAAGTTGATGCAATGGCAGTGAACAAAAATCCAATCAGGAGAAGGCTTGCAGAAGCGTTTGCCTTGTCAGTGAATGAGTTGGAGGGTGCACCTCTACCCAACTCTATGGTCAAACCAAATCCAGCAGCTGAACCCGAAATCAGAAAGTATGATATGATCTGTCATAGCAACACATAAACTTGTTTGATTAAAATCACAGTTTTTTTATTTAGTCTCTTCAACCTTACTGCTAAAGCTTCAACATTAAAAGCTTCATTCTGATATACAATATGTTATGACATGATATATTTGTACCTTGTCACCAAAGAAATCAAACAAATAGCCACCATCACCGCTTATTACACGGTTTCCTGATACCACAGTGAAGATTGAGAACGCCATTTGCAGCAGATTATACGCAAATCCAATGATTATCGTCGATATCATATATCTGCATTCACAAAACAGTATCGGTTTTTCTTCACATGACATTTCTTATATATAAATTTACAATCATGTATGTAACTAGACCTTCAGGTAAAAAACTTTCTCACCTTGCATGCTAATCATATAAAGCTCAAAATGATGTTATAGTGTATTAATTAGGGTTGGATAGTAAAGTATAATGCATGCTTACCGATAAGCATAAACATCACTAAACTTGGTTTGTTCACCAGTTTCAGCATCAGTTTGCTTGACTATGGCAATGAGGATGAGAGCAATGAGAAGGAACACAAAGGTTAAGACCCTCAAAAGGAGAAGCACAGTTCTTGTTGAAGCTGTGGAGGAATTAGAGGGTGTGCTATTCACCATCTCAGGCATTTTTCTAGTATCTCAATACCTTGTTTCTGCGAATAATTTAGGTGCAGTTTTTGACCTTTTTATAACACTATGAAATATGAACGCGTAATCTTGTTCTGATCGTTTACTCACGATGAAGCCAAAGTTAATTGGGCAAGTGGATGTATAATGATTCCGAATGAAACGTAAATAGCTGACTTTGAAAGCGTTGGAATCACACCTACCTATACTCTCGTTACTCTGCGTTTGCTGAAGATTTTCTGCGAAACCTCACATTCTTTGATATCATTGTTTATTGCTTCTCTTTGGTTGACTTTGACCCTATTAGCACAAGTGTTGAGTAATATAAACCAATTGCCATTGGTTAGAGAAGTATATTTCATTCAAATTTTTTACACTCACGTTGTTGAATCTTTTACAAAATATGCTACTAATAATACAATTTTAATAATTTTGAAAATTAAAAGGGGCAAAGTATTATAAGGAACTTTAATCATTTCATAATGAATATATAAGGAGTTGAATCTTTATTTTACCTTTGTTGTATTTTATATAGAAATCAAAGATGTCAATATTTTTTTCTTGTCTCTAATGGTTGACTTTTTTATCCATTTTTAAAATATCTTATATTAAACTCTAATTATCAAATCTTTCAACGTGATACCAAATCAGTCAACCATGCACATAGGAATTTTAGATGACGTGGTACATACGTCACGGCCACATGGAATTTGTTTATGGCATCACACATGATATGTCATATCATAACTATATAACTTTTTTTTCTTACATATTCTCAAGGTTTAATTTGAGTATCTTTAAAATTAAAGAAAAATATATACTATTTTTATAAAATTTAAATTTCGATTTTAATATCGACGTAAAATTCAAAAGTTTAATTATAGTTCATCATAGTATGCTAGCTTTTTGACACCCCATATTCTCTTAAACACCAATGAGTTGTTCTCAAATGCTTAACTTCTGCATTTGTATTTGCATGAAATTCCTACTGAATAATTCAATTGTTATGAAATTTTTTAAAATAGTTTTATAATAAAATAAGTTATTTGAGTGAAAAAAAATTAAAATTTTAATAATTTATGATAATTATTTGATTATTTAAAAATTAGATATTTTAAAATTTTATCAAATAAATAAGAATTTAAAATTTAAGAGACTCATTTTTTTTTCAATTTTTCCTTTATATTATCTCATTAATTTAGCCTTGATTATAACATCTTTAACCTGAGTTAGGTTGGATATCAGATGTCTGCCTAAAATTCTTTTGTACTAAAATAATTATCAGGATTATTATTTATTATTAGGTTAGCAGTGATTTCAGTACGTTTATAAATCTTACATTATTTAAAAATATGATAATTTACATACATTATTATTTGTTAGTTTATCGATATGTATTTTAAGATAATATCTCATACATCAAAATTAAACTTAACAATGTTATTATAATCTATAATCTATATAAAATCAGGACATTTCCATGATTTTTTTCTTGAAGTTAAGTGAAATTATTATTAATATTGTTGATTTTCGACGATCATATATCAAAACATAAGTCATGATTAGTTTTTACCATTATTAATAAGAGTTTTCCCAATTACCAAGATCATTTTTCAACCCATACACTACTAGAAAATATGTTTTCAATGTCGCTGTTTAACGTCGGTTAAATCCTAGCCGACGTTGAATATGCTTTCAACGTCGGTTGTTGAACAACCGACGTTGAAAGTCGAATTTTGGCACATTCAACGTCGTTTAAGCAAGCCTGACGTGGAAAGTAGGCTTTCAACGTCGGTTATGCCCTCACCCGACGTTGAAAACCCTTCTGCATGGGCTTTCAACGTCGGGTGGTGGTATAACCGACGTTGAAACCCACAAAAACTCACACACTTTAGATAGCGGTTATATGGGAACCGCTATCTTTAGTGCTAAAGTGCACTTTAGATAGCGGTTCTAAGGAAACCGCTATCTAAAGTGTTATATCCTCTCAATTATGATCGATCATTTCAAGTTATGATCGATCAGAACCTGATTTCGCTCGAGCGAGAGTAGTGTCGCTCAAGCGAAATACAACCCGAGAATGCTAATTTTGTGCAGGGGGCGTTTCGCTCGAGCGAGAAGAGTGTCGCTCAAGCGAGTTACACTTGAGATAGCGGTTATAAGGGAACCGCTATTATATCCTCTCAATTATGATCGATCATTGCGAGTTATGATCGATCAGAGTCTTATTTCGCTCGAGCGAGGGTAGAATCGCTCAAGCGAAATACAACCCGAGAATGCTAATTTTGTGCAGGGGGCGTTTCGCTCGAGCGAGAATGGTGTCGCTCAAGCGAGATACATTTTAGATAGCGTTTCAATCGATTAAATCTCGTTTCAATCGATTAAAACAATTTCGCACAGCGTTTTAATCGATTAAAACTTATTTTTATCAGTTAAAATTAGTTGAAAAGTTTTACGAGAAAGTTTTGCGAGTATTTCAATCGATTGAATCGCGAAACAATCGATTAAATCAACTTAGAAGATTTTTTGTAAAGTGTTTTAATTGATATAAACGTTGCGAGTATCGGTTAAAACAAATCTATTAAAGAATCAAGAACGTATTAATGGATTAAAAGAAGTTTTAACGGATTAAAGCTGCACTTTTAACAGATTAAAAGAATCTTTTAACAGATTAATTAAGCCGTGAGTTTTGAAAATCTTCTATAAAAACAGTTTGGCTTGAACTTTGGGGTTCGATGTCGCCGAGTTGGGGTTCGGCCTCGAGTTCGTCGAGGTAGGTCGGGGTTGAGATTCGAAGTTGCTTGGTTTTTGATTGGGTGTTTTGGTCACTCGGATTTGAGATTCAAGGTCACTGGGTTGGATTTCAAGCTTGAGGTCGGGTGATGCATGCTTGGGTTAAAGATCTTCGAAGTCTGAATAGAAGGGTGGAGGATTGGGGTTGGAGAGACGAAGGTGATTAAGCTCGAACAATGGTGGATAGTCACTGGTACAAGGTCACAAAGAGGGAGTGAAATTGTGAGCGAGATGGTGAATTTGGGAGGGCTGTCGAGCATGAAGAACACAAAATTTTGGAGGATTATCGGTGCGAAGAAGATGAAAGTACTTGGGTTTATTTGTATATATTTACACGGATATATATTTATTTGTATATAAATATAATTTATTTGTAAGTTATTATCAAAAAATTCAAGTAGTTTAGTGGTTGGAGTATCAACCTCCAACTCTAAAGATCTTGGGTTCGAATCCTGCCAGGTGACAATTCTCTTAAAAATTAACAAACTTCTAAAAAATATAATATAAAGAGATGGAGGACCTAATAAAAATATAATAGGAAGAGAGGGAGACTTCTAGATAATAAAAGGGGGGTAAAGGGGTTGTAAATAAATAAAAATTATTAATTTAAAAAATCATACTTTCAACGTCGGTTCAAAAAAACCGACATTGAAAGTCGACTTTAGATAGCGGTTCCCCTTACAACCGCTATCTAAAGTCGACTTTAGATAGCGGTTTTTGAACCGACGTTGAAAGTTACGACTTTCAACGTCGCCTGATACAACGTCGGTTATTAAACCGACGTTGAAAGCCTTCCAGAACCGACGTTGAAAGCGTTTTTTGTAGTAGTGATATTAGCCAAAGTCTTTTCAGATATGCTAATGAGACTATTTTTTAAGTCATTGTAAGATACAGGTTTTAGTCCACGTTAATCATATAAATATGTCTCAGATCAGGTTATTTATTTTGATGATATAAGTCCAAACTTTTTATTAGTTTTTTTTTTCTGAAGAAGAAGTTATTTGTGTGATGAATATTTTTCAATGTGACATCACAAGTGTTATGAGATGGTAAGTTTTGTATCAGATAATAATTAAAATATTTTCTTTAATTTAAAAAAATAAACTTAACAAAAATACATTTTTATTTAAATAAAATATTTAAATAATTTAAGTAAAACTTATAATTTAAAGATAATATAAATGTCTTAATATTTCTCTTAAATAAAGAAATAATAACATAGTTACATCTCATTATTATATTTAACCTCATTATTATATTTAAAATATTATTTGTTTTTTAATTTTAATTTATTACGATTGTATTATTAAAAGAGGTCCTAATGAATTTATTAGAAGATGAGATATATTTCATATTAATAAATAGATATCCCAAAAGGTACTTTTGGTATTTTATTTTTCTCTAATTTTGTACCGAAAAGCACGTTCTGAGTTAATCACATGAAGATCCATAGCTGAGGTGAGGAAGAAAACATTTAAAGAACAAAGACTAAGAAGACTGACATACTTTTTTGGAGGTACATTTTTGTTTGGTTCTATAATGTTTTGAGGTTATCCAAACTGTATCTAACCATTATACTTCTTGGACTTTTACGTTGTTTAATCTAAACTACTATATCCAACAATTGCCAATCATATTTAAACACATACGTTACTGTCACTTGATTCATATTCTTTTAATTTAGACTAATGCAATCATATATGACACTTTTTAAAGATTTATTTTAAATTTGTCAGTTTCAGAAATAATATAAAAGTGTGGCGTGCTTTCAAAAGTTAAAAATGCCGATGTATTCTCTTGTTTGTGAAATCTGAAGATTATAATCAGAATAATTTAATTTAAAAAATGAAACCACAGTTGCTTCATATATTTAGAAAGGAAAAATACAGTCACAAATATATAAACAAGGTACAAATTAATCAATGACAATAAAGCCACAATTGAACCACCAACAAAAGATTAACTAGAGAAGGGAATAAGAAAGAATTATAAATTTATACACTATCTTTTTCTGCAGAAAGCTGACTAATTATCAGTTTTCTTTGGCAAAGCAAAGGAAGTGAAAGTTGATGCTATGGCAGTGAACATAAATCCAATCAGAAGAAGACTGGCCGAAGCGCTTGCCTTGTCAGTAAATGAGTTGGAGGGTGAACCTCTACTCAACTCTACGGTCAAACCAAATCCAGCAGCAGAACCAGAAATCAGAAGGTACGATATGATCTGTCATAACAACGCACAAACTTGTTTGATTAAAATCACAATTTTTTACGTAGTCTCTTCAACATTACTGCAAAAGCTTCATTCTGATATACAATATGTTATGACATGATATATGTACCTTGTCACCAAAGAAATCAAACAGATAACCTCCATCACCACTTAATACACGGTTTCCTGATACCACAGTGAAGATTGAAAACCCCATTTGCAGCAGATTATACACAAATCCAATGATTATGGTCGAGATCATATATCTGCATTTAACTTTACATTTCTGAGTAAATTTTACAATAAAGAGAAAGATAGATGGATAGATGTATAAAGAATATGCATATATATGCTTACCGATAAGTGTAGAAATCACTGAACTTGATTTTGGTCCCTGTGTCGTCAGTAACGCTGGCTATGGCAATGAGAATGAGAGCAATGAGAAGGAAGACAACGGTTAAGACCCTCAGCAGGAGAAGGGCATTTTTTGAAACAGTGGATCTTGAGGGTGAGGAATCCGCCATATCTCACAGGTTTCTTCTTCCCAGTACCCAGAAAACTTGTTCCTGCGAATTAACAAATTGGGTGCATGCATCATGTGACCTTTTATAATATCAATAATTTGAACGTGTACTCTAGTATACCTAGTACTCGTTTACCGATAAGGATAAAAGTCAACGCTAAAGAAGAAGCATAGTGCACAATGATTACGAAAATGGTGGCATCACAGCTAGCTAGTCGAATCAATTCGTTGACTGAACTCTGCGTTTGCTTCAAATTTTCTGTGAAATCTCATAGTCTGATATCATTACTACTACTGTTGACCCTACTTTATCTCAATGATCTCTTTCTTCTCTCTATCGTGACAAATGCATGTGCTTTGTAATATATATTATGAAAATGATGCTGTTTTCAATATTTGTATGTTGGGTACGAAATTTGAAACAATATTTTTGAAAAAGCTTTCGGCCACAGCGTGGTGAACACGATTACGTTCTTGAACGGGTCAAAACTCAAGTGCGTGAAAAATACTCAGATCCAATTATTTTTAAAATAATACTATTGAAAGCCTTAACTAGCTGTCATCAATGTGTCTTCTACTATTATTATTATTATTATTATTATTATTATTATTATTATTATTATTATTATTATTATTATTATTATTATTATTATTATTATTATTATTCATGCTCTCAAAATAAAAAAACAGACAAAACAAAGTTATTCTGACGCATTAATTTGTCAACTTAATTGAGTAAAATATTTTTGGTATTTAGTACTGATCATGAAATGAATAAAACCAAACAAAGAAAGAAAAAGGAACAGAAAATCAGTATTGTCTTAAAAATCAGTCCCTATTCTACATCAGCAATAAAGTTTAAAAGACAAAATGAGAATAAATGTTGTGTATGTTTGAATAAAATGTTAATAAGGTGGATAAAGACACAAACAAACTTTATTTTTGAGGCATATATAATCACTGTCCTTAAGGATTTATCCGTGATGTATTGCGTAATTCTCCCAGGATACAACAGGAACTTATCGGAATATCCGAGGATCTTAGAAACTAATAAAAAACTTTTCAAAAGAGGAAATTAATCTAGGATAACAGAAAAAAGATAAGAGAAGGGAAGATGAGAGATGTGTGTTTTTGAAGTGTGAAGTAGTTTCTGTTTATACGAAAAAATCTGTAACAGTTATAGGAAGATTTGATAGTGAGTCTGTAATTGAAAAATTATTTGTAACGTTCTCTGAAATCGTCTTCTGTAACGTATGAGAATGTGAGAACACGAACTGTCTTATAGTTTGGAGGAACACTTTATAAATTTTGTAATACCCTTAATTTACAACATCAAAGTCTGAAAATTCTTCCATTTTTTTTTTCTGGTCAGAATATGCAAAATTACATAATCTGATAAAAAAAGGTCCACACAACTCAAGAACACTCCAATAAATAACATCGGTCAAACAAAATGGCTGAACCTCATTTTTGTTATTTTTCGTATTTTGTATTAAGACACAACTGCGCGCAACCAGGTTCAATAACAACAAAGTAAAAATCAAAGTCAAGGGTTATGTATAAACACTCTCTAACACTCAATTATGTCTAGAAATGTTGAACGAGGCACGAGTAAGATGTTGTATAATTGAAGAATAAAAAGCACATACTCAAGCAATAGCATTATCTGTTTATAATTTTCTGCATAATAGAAACACTGTTTGTACAATAAATTTTACAACAGTAAATAACTTTTATGTATTGATAACAGCAGGGTAAATGACAAAAAAAAAGATAGAAAAATTATAAGTATAAAAGACATGATCTAATTGTTTGTTACAGTTCCAACAGTTACATTAATTGTCAACTAAGAAAAAAACATGTTGTAGAAATTGTTGTATATGAAAAACACAAGCGACTAGGGTTTCTTTGGGAGAGTAAAGGAAGTGAAAATTGATGCCATGGAAGTGAACAAAAATCCAATGATAAGAAGGCTGGCCGAAACATTTGCCTTATAAGTGAAGGGGTTGGCAGGTAAAACTCTACGCAGCTCTACTGTCAAACCAAATTCAGCAGCAGAACCCGAAATCAGAAGGTATGATATGATCTGTCCATACAAATTAACAGCGAAAACTTGTTCAAATTCAAAATATATTAGGTCAAAATATTATTGTTCCTTTGCAGAACAGAAAACTTTTTTGTCAGTAATTTTTGTGTGTTATTTACATTGTCGTGTGAAATATTGTTATAGATTATGTATTTACCTTGTCACCAAAGAAATCAAATAGATAGCCACCATAACCACTAAATACACGGTTTCCAGAGACCACAGTGAAGATTGAGAATGTCATCTGAAGCAGGTTGTACGCAAACCCAATGACTATCGTAGAGATCATGTATCTACATTGGTAAGACAGTAAAAACTATTCTCATTTCACATCTTTATCAGTATCTATACGAGAGATAACAATAACATTTTACCCCACATGTTAACAATTTATTTTTATGTTCGAAACTTATAATTTTGCGGGAATTTTTCTTTAAAGATAATCATGTTCAATTTATTGTTTATAGCACATGAATAAAAAAGTTATGAAAATGTAAATTGATAAATGCAAATTACAAATAAAAAAATATATTAAAGCATATGTAAACATATATGGATAGAAAAGTTATGAAAATGTAAATTGATAAACGCAAATTACAAATAAAAAAAATAAAGGAGAATAATATAATTTTTAGAAAAATAATAAAGAGACACTCTTAATAATAAATGACACCCAAACCTAGAAAAAGAAATAGAAATAGAAATTTTATAATTATTATAATATGATAAAAAGAAAGAGAGCAAAAGAAAATACTTGTTGATAAGGTGTATAAAAAAATTTCTGTAAAATATTGTTTAATTTTTTTATGTTAAGAATTGAAAAAATATTAGTTTAATCATGTTTTTAGCTTATGAAATTTTAGCTTAATAATTATTTTAACTCTTTAAACTAAAAAAATAGGGATTTAATAAAATATGACTTTTGTTCCTAAATAATAAATTAAAAAAGACTAAATTTTAAAAAAATATATATTTAATTCAAATTTACTATTTAAGAATTAAAAACATTTTTTTTATTTTAAAAGACTAAATTAATTATTTTTAAAAACATCCGAATCTTTCTATACATCGACACTTAAAAACATAATTGAATAAAAAAAATTGGATATAAATAAACTCCAGAAAATATTGGTCTGAGTTTGCTAACAATATTTTACTGTTTTAAAAAATCAACAACTTTTAAATGTTTAATTGAAAGACGAAAATATCGAAAATCTGATCTAAATCAGGATCTAGTTTTTCATTAAAGTAAGTTTTTTTAATACTTTTATGTTTAAACAGAGATAATAACTTTTATTTTGAATAAAAAATCAGAAACACCTTTTCCTTAATATGTGAGAAACAGATCCTGAATCTGTATTTGTATGCGCATTGGTAGCATTTGACATTTGTTTAGCACAACAAACAATATTTGCAAATCAATGAATCCATAACCCTAGCTTTAGGTTAAAATGGTTCTCCTGATATTGGTAATTATATAAAAGTCTGAGTGGTATTATTAAAAAAGAAAGAAGTAATTAAGTAAAGAATTAATAATGCTTACCGATAAGCATAGATATTATTGAACTTGATTTCTTCACCTGTCTCATCATCAGTTATGGTGTCTATGGCAATGAAAATGAGTGCAATAAGAAGAAACACAAAGGTTAAAACCCTCAAAAAGAGAAGAATAGTGACTGAAAAGGTTGAACTTGAACTTGAACTTGAATTTGAATTCGAGTTTGTGACTGTGCTGTCCATCTCAGACTAAGGCTATTGTTTCTGCCTCCAAGTTCTTCTATTCGTTTAGACGAGATGATTACAAAGTTAATTTCATTAACCAGTTTAGATAATTTTATATAAGGGTTTAATTAGGGTATAGTCTGGTGTTAAAAAATGTAAATTTAATTAGCTGGCCATCAAACATGAAAATGAGATACTTAGAAAATGGTGATGATCACAACGTTCCAAAACATGATCCAAAACATTTCATTTTCTACGTTGTCCCATCAACATTTATTGTATTATGTACGGATAACGTGTTTCTCGAGGGTCACTCTCACGTTCCTACAATATTCTAACGATAAAAGAGGGTGTAATTTTTAACGACAAAAGGAGAGGCACTGTAACATTTGTGTTTTTAAGAAAAGGGTGTGTAATTTATTCAATTATTTATACAGTTTTAGCTTTTCATTTAATACGGTAAAAGTTATACTAAAAAGGTAAAAACAAGCTTATAATGAGTAACATGTCTATTATTTACAATTTTGCGCGCCTTATCATAGATGCATTTGATTATTTATCAACTTGTCGAATTTTGAAATAAATATTAATAAAAGGCATTGTTGTTTACTATGAATAAATTGGTTCAAAGCAGGTGTCCGTGCATATAAACAGAGCATCTCTTTTGACATCTTCTGAGACATTTCTTTGGTATTCCCACAATGTCATGTAAGACTGGATGGGACACTCTTCTAACTTAAGTTATCTTTAAAAGCTAGTTAAAATAATTCAAATAAAATTTGTTCAAATAAGTTTTTATACAGTCATAATAACATTAAAAAAAATATTTACCATAATTCAAATAAAATTTTAGCAAGAAAAAAGTCCTATGAATTTATTTAAAATAAAAGGAATCAAAATTGTGAGAATAAGTGGCAGTGATTGAATGTTACTGAACAAATAATTGAATGATGTATTTGGAAAAAGAATTTGCAAATATCACTCGTTCTGGTGGGTCAGACATGCAGGAAATATGAGGAAATAGAGCAATGGTACCATATGCTAAGTAACACTGTCATTTGTATTGTTAGTATCACAAGACCTAACATGATGAGTAACCTTTTCATCTGTAACATTAGTATTTCAATCCTAATATAGGCACTTCATGTATCATGCAAAAGTTATGCAGACCTTAGACCACTTGCAAATAATAAAGGTTACAAATCGTACATTTCCTCGAAAGCCAATAAGATCAGGTTGTCTGAGCCTCATTTATGTCACATTTGGCGTCCAGCAAAAGTAGAGTCATGCTTCCCCAAGCCCTGAAAAATAACAACACTTCAAAATGTGTTTGATTAAATGGGCCATTGGAGCAATATGCTGTTTTAAAAATTTAATCAATTTTAGCCTAGTCGTTCTTCATCTATTGTCATCCTACATTGCTTTTACATTATACTTTACTAGTGCAATGGAACTGTTTCATAAGCCCCTCAGATGTGCTTTTCCACAAAGAACAGAGGCAAGAAGACGAATCTGATTACGACACTTGTGTCTAAATCAAGCATCATAAAGGCAAAAACAAACATTATTGTAGTAATATGTCAAAACTAACATCTTTAGTGGTATCCTCTTTCCCTTTTCTAAACTTTGCAAGGTGCTGATGATATTCTTCAAGTTCTTTCTCCAACCTTTCAATGAACTGGCTAGAATGCTCAAGGGATTGCTCGAACCTATATTTCTCTAAGGCCTGGAAATTTTTCACAACAAAATAGAAACCGTAAGTCCATAAACTTTATGCTAAAAGAATACAACACAATGCTTTCTCAACACAGTATTTTCCCCATGAAAACCCATGACTCCGCACTATGCAGTTTTTAACTTATCCATTCCATCAAAGCACCGGTCCTTTCATTTCTCAGAAAACAAACAGTGCCTACTAGAACAAGTTTATCTAAATAAAAAAAAAAAAAGGTTTAACCTCCATAGAAAGCATTACTATTAGCTGCAATATGTCGAAACATAAATCTAAAGTAGTCTGCAAAGTGCAAACTTCATAGCTAACCATACTACTCAATGAAGTGAATAATTAATAAAACAAGTATTATGAATATAGCTGATTTATATTTAGAAAGCTACAATAGATGCAAATCACTCCTATCCACCTAATTTAAGCTCATCAAGAAAAGATGATTGCCATAACAACTTGAATTATTTTATTTGAATGGGTTTGATACAAGTATATTATCTCAGCCCACTATATTGCAACATACATAACACTGTCATGTACTCATGTTCAACAACACCAACACTCAGGTAGATTATTTCCAAATTTCTAATTGCCCAGCAGAAGGTATCAACAAGGGATACTTACCTTCAAAATGGCATCCATATAACAAATTAAGATTATTTCTTTTATTTTAGGGGTGTTTGTGTTACCTTATTTTGAGGGACCTTGATATCTATTCTTGTTAGAAAATGTCCTATTCTAAGGGACTTGAAAGTTTTTGTTCTCTTATAAATTAAGATTATAGTATCAGTATAAATAGGACTATTGGGTTACCGTCTTGTATCACATCTTAATACAACCAGCATATTACTGTGAGTACCCTATAACTTCAACAAAAATACAGTGATATATTTATCACTAAATACATTTAGTCAACGAATAACAAATGCAATGGAAATTACCTTTGCTTTTGATAATGTATTTGGAGGAGACATTAGTTGTGGTTGTACATAGTTCTTCCCACGGTAAAAGATGATAGTATTATTAGGTTTGATGTCAATCACAATGCCTTTGCTCAATCGAGCAAGTTCTTCAGCATATTCATGAACTTGCCCCGGTTTGCAAGGCTTGCAGATAACCTTTACTGTTTCATGATTTTTCCAGTGAAGATGCATATTAAGAACAACCCCACCGAATACTCCCCGTCTCCCAACTGGTACATAATGTTTCTTTTTCTCACCTGTGCGCTTCAGGTAATGCCTTTCCTCCTCAGTTAAAATTTCAGGATCAAATGTTTCTGGAGGGGGTTTTGGTACATCATATTTTCTCAGTTTTTCTATCAACCAAGTTTCCTTTCGCTTGGCCTGCGCAATTCAAAGTTAAAACAGAAGACCCCCAAGTTAGAAATGAAAAATTAAGGATGAAAGGAACAAAGCCTCTTTCCAGTCTATCTGAGGCACTAAATCATGATTGTACGTATGTGGTGAACTGGTGAAGATACCAAAGCAAGTTTAAACAGAAACATATCCATTAATCTAGCTAATGTACTTTGTGATTTTATACTCATATGCAGGGTAACTGAAAAATCATATTCAAGGTAATGATGTCTTAATGAAAAATATAACTTCACAAACATTCCCAAATAGAAAATACAATTTAGTGAAGGCATTTGGATATACAAATCCATAAGTAGCAACATTTTGGTTATTTCAACGCCCATACAACGAACAAAAGGGGAAGCAGATTAATTTAGTGAATACCACAACAATGCTCATACCATTGTTACTTGCTAGAAAGCTGGAGCACGTCCAAAAACATAGAGGATAAAATAAAAAAAGTAAATTACCAACAATGGAGACAATTTTGTTGCACTAAAAAGCTGTAATCTAAGGTTGCAATAAAATCCAACCTTTTCAAGTTTATATCTAATTCTAACAACTGGATTTGGGGAATTCATCTTTTTCTTGGCCTTCAAACGATAAAACCTGAGCTCGTTCAGTTTAGCTTTTTTAGACATTTTAACTTTTTTGTTCTTCCGGCTCTTGTTTTCGGAATTAATATCATCCGACTTGTCCAGAGAGAACCGCACAACATCGTTGTCAGTCTTCAGCTCAACTGATTCATTACTTATGTATCTGACAGAGAGACAGCTTCCCAAAATACCTTGGCTTCCAAAGATATTTGATCTCTGCTTTAAAGGAAAATATGATAGAGAAGGTATGGTGGGAACTCCTGAAAGATGCCTTGGTGTTCTGTAAGTTCTTTGATGTATGCAATTATGAGGTTTAAAGGACCTGAAATATGAAGTCGTGGTAGGGGATGATGCAATGTTTGGAGCATGTTCAACTAGACAGCATAACCAGAATAACCTACCACTGCATAGTGAGAGCATAAATTGGTATTAAAAAATCAGGAGCACTAAAATAAGGGCAACAACTATGTCAAATATTGTTTCAATCCAACACCCTCAAAAAGGGAAAAATAAGTTAATCAAAATAATTGCATCGAAGAAAAGGACTGTTTTGCTTCTGAAGTTGACATCTAGGAAGGAGACTTCCCTTGATGATAATGGAGACACGCATCCTAAAACAATGTAGAAGGACTATTTCCCCATGAACTGTTATCCACAGCCAAAGGCAATGCGTGCGGCAGTGAGCAAAAAGGAACATATATTACACAGTATACATTATGATATGTCGTACGATCTGCATTACATATCTATATTTAACTTTTGGATTACAAAGTAGAGAAGATATGAAGCTGATTCAGGAGTAACTCTAAATATCTCAAACACACATAAATTCAAGTAAAAATAAGAAGCAAAAGTAGTTATTTTCCACTTTCCACTCACGTTTCAAGCAAGAAGGAAGACAATGCAAACATAAAATCTAATAAGTCCAATAATTGGCGAAAAACAGAAAGCAAGCAAATATGAATCACATAAAAAAAAATACTTTATTTAAGTGAGAAATATGAACCTATTGAATGTGCGGGAAAACCCACGCCTTGTTCCTCTGACTAAAGTTGCCGAAAACATAAAAGTCCAAAATCCTGCTGAAAAGACTAAAGGGAAGAGGGTCAGAGAAAGAAAAACCAACAGATAGAGAATGGGGTGAATTAAAGAGTGCAGAAGCCTCCCAAAGTTCAAGTTATGGAGTCTATTTATCCCATGGATAGTAGAAACTTTTTCAATTGTACCTTGAATCTTACATCCATCATAAAACCATTAGCTTTGTTCTTAACCTATTTGTTTGAATTATTAGTCTATATCTAATTAAACCATAATTTAAAACAAATAATGGCAATAATGAGTAAAGTAACAATCAACAATCTAACTAAATTTTAACATTTCTCATCTATTTCTCTTATTTTCTTTTCTCTTCCACTCCCTGAATTTCTTTCTTCGCAACCTGAAAAACCAACCTAAGAGGAACCGAGCGAGATCGCAGTGCGTGAATCCCTCTTGACGTCGAGGAGGCGGTGGCAGTTTTCGTGGATGAAGGCGTCGGCGTAGACGGAGAAGAGCGGCGACGAGGGCTAGGAAGAAGAGCGTACCGGCAGTAACCGTCGATACTTAACGACTTATCCAAACCTCCGTTAGCTGTGTTTGTTCCGTGAGGTTAAAAAGAACTTCGTTAAAAATCCGCTGTTAAAAAAAACTCTTATTTATAACATTAGAAAGGTATTTGAGAAATCACTTGACAACAATTTATAATTATTAATTTGTCAATAAATTAATTATGTTTTAACTTATATAAAAGAAATACCAACTATTAATTATTTTTAAAAATATTTTAGTATTTAAATTTAAGAATTATTATAAATAACATTTTATGATAGTTTTAAATACATAAGAGTCTGATCTTTTCGAAATAAATTAAAATATGAGAAAAATCTTTTTATACTAGACATTAGACAACGGTTTTATGCAATGGTTCTCAACTGTTTTCTAATGAAACGGTTTATTTGCTACATAAAAGACAAGCGTTGTCATAGGTATGAAATGCAGCAGTAGGTGATTTCATACCACTTTGAATAATGAAAAGGGCAAAACGCCTTAGAGAACCCCCACAAAGGGGCAAAAGGTCCTCCACTCACAAGCCCATTTAGAGAATGGTCTTTGGGTCTATTCCTCTCTAACCCATAACCAAACTTTATGAAGATTGGCCTACCCAACATTTAAACCTAATTGTTAAGTAAATAATCAAATTAGGTTAACTTTTAACAAATAATTACAAGTTGTTTATAAATAAGGAAAGTGGATAGATAGACCAAATACTAATAGACCCACCTAATTAACCATTCAATTAAGATTTAACAAATGATTAACTAATATGCAATTTATAGTAATTGGAGAGAATTATAATAATCATGGATCATAGATCTAATGAGAAATAATTATGAAAGTGTGGAATATTTTTTTAAGTGACAAAAATGAGCTTGATTAGGAAGACAAATGAAAAAGCAAAAGGAGGTTGACTATATATGGAAGATTCTCTCATAAAGATACATATCCTATGGAAGCAAATCTCCATGGAATATAGTGTAACTTTCACAACCAAAACTTATCAGCAATATACACCACAAATAACAATAATATCCCTAATCGTTAATTAATTTTGCATTATCTTGTTATTTTAAACGTTATTTTTTAAAATGTTAAATTTCACTTATCTCTCAGCTTTGAAAATAATAAGTTGAGCTTATTGTTTTTTTTTTTTTCAAAATGAAAAATATAGTTTTCATTGCGTATTTTCAAAATTTACTCAGAAATTCAAAATTATATTATAAATTACTTTCCAATAATTCTGATAATGTGTATACATGTATCTCTGGAATCAAGAGTCACAATCTTATCCTGAAAAAAAAATCAAGATTTGATGCACAATGCGCATGTGTTCCATCTTCCATGTCGTTGTCCATGCATGGTTGTGGGGCTATCCCCAGCATCATCATTCATCAAATAGCAATGATAAAAAAAAAAAAAAAAATATATATATATATATATATATATATATATATATATATATATACCCATTTTTTCTATTAGTATTTTCTTATCACATTATTACTTTTATAACTTTTTGAAGAGTAAATATGAATTGAAATCTCAAATAAATATTAAAAAAAAAAGAATAACATAAGAAATAATAATAAAAAATAAATTTGTTTGTATGAATATCTTTCTTTCATTGTGTCCATCCAAAAAAAGGGTATATTTTTGCTCTTATCCTTCTTGAAAGGGGGAGGAAGATGGGTAAGTAAAGGAAGAGTCCCCCCTTCCCTCTTAGCCACCATCTGTATGCTGACTGCCATTCCTTCTTCCTCCCCACAAAAACTGCTTCTCCTGTCCACCATTCCACCATTCTTTGTCCCTTCCTTGTCTCCATAACATTTTCTTCAAACAATTTTCCAAATTCTAAATTTTTAAATTCGTCAAAGTAGGTGGGACCTTTACTTCCTACATATCCAATTCTCATCCGTTAGTACTGTATCTTTATTACATAACAAATGGACTTTATTTTTACTATTGTTAGATTTTTAGGGTTTAAGGTTTAACTTATACCATTTTCATATTTTATCTTAGAAACATTCACTTAAAAAAAAAATCATCATTTAAAGTCTTAGCATCTATATATGGGTTTAACTATAATAAATGTGTGTTCTGATAATTGGCATATACGGAAATTTTTTATTAAGGTTTGGAAGCAGGGAAGATGACAACATCTAAACTCCAAAAATAATGATTAAGAGTTTGAACAATACACATGTAATTATTAACGTTAATTGAAACAATATCATGATGTAACAACGATCTTAGACATTACATTAACCAGCAAAAGGCACATTCTTAAAGATTGAGAAGGATATTAATTTGCACGTTTTATTTGTCTGAACGTGAGCACAGACCCTCCATCGCTGTCTGTTCAAAATCTGTGTCATTTCAATTTCAAAGTAGTTTGGTAGACGACCAATACGTAAATTTAGGGTTTAGTGGTAATATAAATTATTGTAGTACAAATTAATAATAAAATTTCTATGTTGCATTGTTTCAAAATTAGTTTCAGTTTTTGAAAAACTCTGAATAAAATACTACTAATAAGAAAAGGAAATTAAAGTAAAATAATTTCTTTTTTCTTAGTACCTTCCAAGTTTAATGAGTAGCAACTTCTAGCGTGTTGACATGGCGTGGATCAATTCTATGGCGATAATTTGTATAAACTTCATCTCATGCATGATTTTCTTAAGATTCAAATGAAAGAAAGTCGATACATCTCAACTCAACCTAACATCTTAGTGAAAACATTTAGTGTTTAAAAAGTACTAATATAAAAGAATGTGAAAATATATAATTAACTCAACTTTATATATATAATACATGAATCAAGTTACTTGAGAAATAATTTATAAGATTTTCACTCTTTATTATTTTAAGTTAATAATAAGTAACTTATTTTTTACTATTAAATTAAAACGAAATTAAAAAGTGAAGGCTATAAAGTTACTCTTGAAATAATTTAATTTCGTATTATATATATCTTATATTAATGTAATTTTATCAATTATTATACCATCAACAGTTATATATATAGAAAGATAATTTTACCGATACACTCATTCAATTATAATATTATATCAGTTCAATTCTATATGTCAAATTCTGTCAAAATTAAAGGGTAATAAAAAAATACATATATCAATATATTTTTAAAATATATATTACATCAATGTTGATATATCTACAAAGTATTATATAAATTGATCTATACACTATACAAATAAAAAAAAAACTTTCTATCTGAATTTATAAAAAAATATCATTTAAGCAAAAATTATTTAGCGATGTAATATCAATTAAATAGAATTATTTTCATCTAAAGTATTATAGCCTGATTTGATGAAGTCATTAGTGTGAGTTAATCAAGTGTTTTTTTTTAATGATGGAGAGATAAAACGAACATTACGACATATTTTGGGATAGAATACAAGAAAAGTAATTTTTTATGGGCTAAAAATGTTAAATTGCATTAAAAAGGATGTTTATTTTTTGTGTTTTTCATAAGTATTTTTCTAGGAGAAAAATAATGTTGAAAATACGATAAAGGAATAAACGTGTACAATTTTTTATTGACACCTTTATAAGTCATATATATATATATATATATATATATATATATATATATAATTAATTACTATATATTTGGTGTTTCTTTTTCCATTTGATTTTTCTTTTTCTCCTCAATACTATATAAACAACTTCCAATTTCGAAGGCTGGACTTAAATATAAATTTTATAAGAAGTAATATTATCTAATATTCTATAACAAAGTTTCACTTGATTAGGGCAATGTTTGAATTTATAGCACTCACTCTTCTTAACATGATTAGGGCAATGAATATTTGGGACATATATAATTACTCGATTTTTAATAGCATGCATGATGGTGTGTGGTGTTAAATAATTACCAAAATATCCAAAAAGTGGTGTGTTTTTTTATGATACATATGTATTAATGAATAATTGGACACAAAAAGGAAAAAGCTGTTGCTGAAAAAAAGTTTAAGAAAAATAAAGAATAGAAAAAAAAATGACTACTTTTTCCTGGAGGAGAGCTGGCCGAAGGGAAACAAAGGTACATTCGATTGTGACGCATCCACCGAAGACCTCCCCACCATGAGTCCATGACTCAACACCTTTTTGCTTTTCAATTCCAACTTATTATTCTAAAATGATTTTCAAGTCTTCAAAAACCTCATAGTACAAAATATAGTATGTTAATCCAAACCTAGGGCTAGGGTTTCTCTTTCTTAGCACTTAACATGCATGGCCATTGGAGAGTAAAGTCTTTAATGTTAATGCCACAGTAAAAGCAGAAGAGAAAGGTGCTTATGCAATAAGAAACTGGCTTGGTGCTCCTCCATAATCCCCCAATAATTTTAATAGGAACAAAAAGAAGGAGAGATAAAGAGGAAGCAAATTAAGAACAAAAGTAAATTAAATATATAGACACACCCCCACAACACAACCTCCTTTATCTTTTCCCGTCCCCTGTGATCTCTTTCTCTGCAACTCTCTCATGTTGATGTGATTCTCCACCCACACACACCACCAAAGAAAGAACCCATCAAACTTTTACAAAAGAGAAAGAAAGCTCTCTAATTAACAAGAGCTATGGTCTTCCCGTCCCTTCCAATCTATCTAGATCCACCCAACTGGTCACAACAGGTAAGGATTAATTCTTTCATTCTCTTCCATTTCTTTTCCCTTTCTTCCTTTTTTTTTTTTTTTTTTTATAGCTTCTTCATCAATAAAGCTAAGAATACCATTAATCACAATATTCCTACTCATACGCTTTATCAATCTTTTATTTTATTTTTCCCTGAATATACTCTTTGTATCTGTACATATTATAGATATTCAATTATGTAGTTTTTGTTTTTTTCTTTTTTGCTCACACTTGTAAAAAAAAAAAATTCACAGCAACCTAATCAGCCAGCAGGAATTGGCACCCAGAATTCACAGATTCTACCATCTTTGCAGCCGCCACCTTCATCGGTGGCGGCTGTTATCGGAGGTGGTGGTGGTTATCAAGGCTCTATTAGACCAGGATCCATGGCTGATCGAGCAAGGATGGCAAAGATACACCAACCTGACGCAGCACTCAAATGTCCACGATGTGATTCTTCCAACACCAAGTTTTGCTACTACAACAACTATAGCCTTTCACAGCCTCGCCACTTTTGCAAGACTTGCCGTCGTTACTGGACCAGAGGAGGTGCACTCAGAAACGTGCCAGTTGGAGGTGGCTGTAGAAGGAACAAAAGAAACAAAGGAAGTAGCGGTAGATCAAAGTCTCCTATGAAACCCTCAACAGGTTCTACCTCTGCAAGTGCTAATTCTTCTTCTAGTGGCTGCACCACTGATCATGTGATGATGACTCACTTGCCAACTCCAACACAAACTCAATTTCCATTTTTAACCTCTTTGCATCATTATAATAGTGACTACGTTTCTGGGGGCATTGGATCTCATTTTGGGGAGATCACGACACCTTTGGTGGCTAGAAATGGCAGTGATGTTGAGTTCCAAATTGGCACTACTTCAGCTTCATCACTTGGTAATAGTGGTGGGGCTATGCTGTCAAATGGCCTTGGTGAGCAATGGCGGTTGAACAATCTGCAACAAGTTCAACATCAGTTCCCTTTCTTGGGCAATAATTTGGAGCCACAAGCTGGGGTGTTTCAGTTTGGTGGTGGAGAAAATAATAATGCCGAACCGCCAAGTTTTGCAAAGGATGGAAGCCGGTTTAATATTCGTTCTAAAATGGATTCTATTTCTAGTCTAAGTGGAATAATGCCTCAGCTTAACACGATAAAGGTGGAAGAAAATCAAGGTTTCAGTTTGCCAAAAAATCTCTTGATGGGTAATTCGGGAAATGATGTACTTTGGAATGGAAGTGGAAATGCATGGAGTGAACTTCCTTGTTTCACTCCTTCACATAATCAGTTGTCGTGATCCTTGGAATTAAGCTACCTCTATTCTGATGCTTTTGCTTTCCTAGTCGCCTCAGATTTTTATGATCATCATAGTAATGCATGATCGAATGTATAAGAGTTAGAAGCACTTGCTAACTTTGGAATGGAATTCTACCCTTTATGCACGAGTCCTATCTTACCAGGATAAATGGGAAGGAAGGAAGATCAGAAGTTCAGAAACACTTTGTGTTACATGAAGAGGAGAAATGGTACGCAACTCTTCAAGTAAAAATTCCTTTTCCATCGTTGAATGTCGTTAATATCTTTTGTTGTACACCCAAGTATGAACATGTTGAGCGAAAGTATCGCTGTATTTGTTTATATGCATGTGTTGTGATGACATGAGCCGTTAAGTTGATATTACTAATTGTGTGAAGCTTGGTCTAGTCTAAGGCTTTTTTGTATGTGGTGATGATGTAATTTTTATATTTTCTCATTATTAATGATTTCGCACCAGCTATATATAATGTAAGCTCAAGAAACTTCAAACACTAATGTTTCTGACTTGTTATCCTTTTTAGTTTCCATTCATCTCAATTTCCCTAATTACTTTATATCACTTTCTTTCCTAAAAAGATATAATATTTTGAATTGCCAACAAAATATTTGAAACAAAAGTAATAATGTTCCTCAAAATGAGTATATATATATATATATATATATATATATATATTATATATATATATATATATTATATGACAGTTAGAAAGTCAAATGAAATACGTGTTGCGAGAGACAAAGAGAGAAAATGGATTTTGAAGATGCATTTTCCAACACATGTAAGGTGGCCACCTCTACCATCCCTTGCACCTTTTCCTCTCTCACTATAATAGATAACACTGCACCAAGTTCGCATCCATATATTCTTTTTCTTTTTCTTTTTTTTTCTGATTTTCTTGGCCATAGCAAAATTCAAAGCATGGGATTTCCATCTTAGGAGGGTTAGCAAGGTTCAGATGAACTGTGCATGAGATTCAGTTTCATGAAACATTTCTTCTTCGATTGTGCATTAATTTTGTCATGTTTAAGTTCTATAGTTTGATCTGACACACTGCTGCTAGTACATCCAACTTGCTTTTTCAATCATCTTCAAATTTTAAGAAGCCCTTTTTCATATTGATTACTTATTTTAACCTTTAACAGAAAAAGCAGTTTGAATACATCCAAATTGGGACCATGGGAGTGAGAGAAGCGAGTCATGTTGATTTGGTAGAATTGTAGCAATACGAATATGTACTAATATGGTGTCCAAAATGATTATCAAATTATAAGGAAATTGACCAAATGGATCTATCGTACTTGTTTGTTTTATATGTGTGAACTGAGAGCGTTAACGATGGAAAAGGAGGATATGTTTCATTTCTTGCTAAAGAAACGCCAAAATACCACTCAAAACCATGCACTATAACTCTAGATCTGACTTCATTTCAAAAACAAAAGAACTAAACCAAAAAAAACAAAGGAGAAATAATCAAATGCGAGATTGCCAATTTGAACCTTTAAAGGTACAAGACAAAAACAGAAAAATACTTTAAATTTTCATCTTCAAAAGGAGTTTTCATCATAACTAAAGAAGCATATGATTATATTATTATTCTTCTTTCCTATCCTTAACATTGCTGGGAGGTTAGCTGGCTAATACTTCCTTAGCCTTCATCTTTCATTATTCTTTAATTTTTCTGTTACAAGATAACAGAATAAAGCCACAAGAAAATCAATCTGTAAGGCAGATTTGTCATAACCTAATCATGGTAATGATGTAATTGATATGATAATTGAAGAAAGCTTTAGAGATGGAATCTGGGACTTCGAGTGGTTTGCTTTTTTGCAACTTTAAAAGCTAGCTAATTGCTTGCTTACTACAAGGAATAAAGGTGTCACAACATAGTCAAAAAAGCGAATCTCTCTTTGTTGGAGGAAGCAGTGAAGGGTGGTTTTTGTTGGTCGGTTGGTCGTAGTATAGTGATGGGATAGTGATCACAAAAATGTCTAGGGCTATGGTAATGCACAATATATTCTGATGATAAAAGCAAAGAAACTTCGAAGAAAGAGGTCGAGGTCCACCATAAGTAGTAGTAGTAGTAACAGCAGAAGAAGAACCAAAGCTAGGTTGTGGCTCAGAATCCCAAGCAAGCTTTTACTATAGCATAGATAGTTGCTGATGATGCCCACATGTCTAGGCGTGAATATGTTCTCTCTGTTACCCTATCAGCTTTTGCTTTTTGTGACGTCCTTCTTCAACATGATCATTTTTTCTTTCTCTCTCTCTCTATCTTTCCGTGATTCCAATCTATTCCTTCTTGGTTCCAAGGCCTCTCGTTGCCCCACATAACCTCAATCATATATATATATATATATATATATATATATATATATATATATATATATATATATATGTTAGATTCTTCCTTACTTTTGAATAATTATATATACATCTTCTACTGTGTAGAAACGTGGGCATGCAACCTTATTGTTAACGTTTTTTCTGATGAAAGAAGACGTGCGTGCTTCTTTTCTTTCTTTTCCGCAACAGAAGCAAGAAATCTTGAGCCTCAAACTGATTTCATTGCTAGCTAGCTATCAAACTCACTGAAACAAAACCAACTAGCAGTTACTTACCTTAAAGATTCTTACTATTTTAAGCTTATCCTCAGGGAATATTTGGGAACGATGTGTATATATATGTATATCGTTCTGAATCTTATATCAAGGTGGAACTGAGTGAAAATGTCTATTCTAGTATTGTTTTCTTTATTCAGTAATCAAATGAATCCTTAAAATTACGTTAAAAAAGAAATATAACCAATCAATGTGTTAATAATTAAAAAGGTGCACCAGAAAATATAACAGGTTAAATGTATGATTTAACCATATAGATCTGAATAACGAATTCTTTATTTAGATATTATAAACAAATAATATTGAATCAATTTCTGACAAATTTTATAGATTTGTTATCTGTCACCTTTAATTTTTTACAACATTTTTCGTTAAGTATCAATCTATAAAAATATTAGTTAATTTAGGGTTTCATCACGCTTTACTTTGATAAGGATTTTTTATCACATTCTCATTGAGATTTGTTTATATAACTATTTCACAAGGACAAATGAAATTTCTTTTATGATTACTTTTTTAATTAATATGTGGTTAAAAAATAATTATATGAAAATTAGGAGTAATCTTGAATATAAAGAAATAATCTTAATATTCATAAGGTGTGCTTAAAATGGATTTTTCTTTTCATGGTCCAATATTATAATTTATAATTATTATTTTTACAAGAATAATATGTCATTTAAAATTAAAATGATTTTATTACGTGTTGCACTAATAATTCTTTTTTTAGTCACATATTTCCAAAATTTTTAAATACACTTTACATAGTACTGATTGTGAAGTTACAACTTAAAATTTTAAATCCAATAACTCTCACAAATTTTAAGTGACATAATAATTTGACATTTTCATATTCTTATATAATTTTTAATTAATAGCGAACCTAATATTAATGTAATTATTTATCTTTTGTTAAATGTTAAGTAAATTATGCTTTAACAATGTTTTTTAATATATTTACTAAATGAACTAAAAAATCATATTTTTAGACAAAAGTATATAAATATGTGAGGAAATAGTGAGATTCATTTCAATTTTTTAATAAGTTTGTCATTGGATAAAGATAGTTTATGTTCATAAAAGTTTAAAATTTTATAATAAGTTATTAGGAGATTGAAAACATGACATTTATAATGCATATCATGATATCATATAGAACATAAATATCAATAAGAAATCAATAAATTGTATATTACCTTCTATTACTTATACATTAATATTTACATAATTTTTAACAAGTGCATGCCACCTATTAAATCACTTGCTATCACATGATAACTATATTATAAACAAACCTCCGTTTAATTTACTATGCTTTTAATTAGATTAATTATAAAAGTGATATAATTTATTTAAGTAAAAAAAATTAAACTTTTTTTTACTATAAAAGGTGCAATCTCTGATGGTAATTAGAGAGGGAAATTGGGCTTGATTAGAAAAAGGCCCTGGGCTCCCACAAAGAGGTTTAGTGTTGTTCAAGGGTAAGAAAGAATGTGACAAAAGGATGGTTAATTAATTTACCATTTATTAACTCACAAAAATAATGATAATTTTTTTATTAAAAAAGTCTCAAGTGTCAAGATAAAAAATAGTTTACAAATATTTTTTAATTCTCTTGGAAATATCTTTAAGATAACATAATGATGAAACAACAAAAGATCAAGTAGACATTATTTTATCTACAAATTCGATCAAAAAAATCAATAAAAAAAGAGACAATTGTTAACTATATCTCCCATATTTACCAATATACTTCGATTATTTTTTCAAAATAACCCCTTTACAAATATGCAACCATTTTATTTTATTTTTTCACAAAATTTGTAGTGTGTAACACGTTCCAGAATATCCCCTTGTGAAACACTAACACACTAATCATAGACATGACAAAATATTTAATGTGAAAAAAATTGATTTAAATTAAATAAGAAGATATAAAGAATAATAATTGTTTAAAATAAATGAAGTAAGCCCATTTATAGGCCCACTGAAAGGAATGAAGCATTCAAAAGAATGGTCCAGAAAAGCGGCATAGGTGAAGGCGAGGGCCCCACGTAAGAATGGAACATTCTAGACACATTCTCTGAAACCTATATATATCTCATTTCTCACCACCCTCTTCTCTCAATTCATGCCATCAGTGATCTCCTCCTTCAACACCTAACCCTATTCCATTCACATTTCCAACCCTAATTCACATCAAACAATGGCTGCAAAGGGTGAGGGACCTGCCATTGGAATCGACCTCGGCACCACCTACTCCTGCGTCGGCGTGTGGCAGCACGACCGCGTAGAAATCATCGCCAACGACCAGGGCAACCGTACAACGCCCTCTTACGTCGCCTTCACCGACACCGAGAGATTGATCGGCGATGCTGCTAAGAACCAGGTCGCCATGAATCCCATCAACACTGTCTTCGGTAATTCATCGTTTTCTCTTGCATAATTTAGCCTAGATCTGCTTCTTTTACCAAGCCTTTTTTATTTTATTCGTAGCACTTGTGTTATCCGCTTTTATCGGTCTCCTTTTCACCACTAGTGTGTAGTTTGGTTGTAAAATATTCACTATGCGTTGTATCGATTTCATTCTTGGTTCTGTTCGACTGTGTGGAGTTTGTCTCTTTCTTTTTAAATTGGCAGACAAAGTTATTTTTACGTAATATGAGCTAACCCTTTTCGGTTGTTGGCCAACACACACACACACACATATATAGTGTATGTGTACGTATGTGTATAAGGACTCCGGTGTATCCAAGACAATATTAAAAGAAATCAGATATAAAATAATTTAGTCATCATGTTTTAGAAATTTTAGAAAATATATAATTTGTTTTTTTTTTTGTATTATTTTATACTTTTCGAGGTTGATTATTCTATTCGATTAAAACACATAGAAGTGATTTGATTTTTTTATCTATTTTTTCAAAAAAAAAAGAGTAGCAAATTACCTCTAATCTATGCCAATTAATAATTGATATTTTTTTTTCCCTTTGTGTGTAACGGGGAAGTTTTTCATTTTGATGTGATTTGTTTGTGAATATGATTGTTGACAACTTGGGATTGTCATTTGGCAGATGCGAAGAGGTTGATTGGTAGGAGAATTAGCGACCCTTCTGTTCAGAGTGATATGAAGTTGTGGCCATTCAAGGTTATTGCTGGTGCTGGTGAAAAACCTATGATTGGTGTCAATTACAAGGGCGAGGATAAGCAATTTGCTGCTGAGGAAATCTCCTCTATGGTCTTAACGAAGATGAGGGAGATTGCAGAGGCTTACCTGGGGTCAACTGTGAAGAATGCTGTTGTCACTGTGCCTGCTTACTTCAATGACTCTCAACGTCAGGCCACCAAAGATGCTGGAGTCATTGCTGGCCTCAATGTTATGAGAATAATAAATGAGCCAACTGCTGCAGCTATTGCATACGGGCTAGACAAGAAAGCTACCAGTGTTGGTGAAAAGAATGTCTTGATCTTTGATCTGGGAGGTGGTACTTTTGATGTTTCTCTCCTCACCATTGAGGAGGGTATCTTTGAAGTTAAGGCCACAGCTGGAGACACTCATCTTGGAGGAGAGGATTTTGATAATAGAATGGTTACCCACTTTGTGCAGGAGTTTAAAAGGAAGAACAAGAAGGATATTAGCGGAAACCCAAGAGCCCTTAGAAGGTTAAGAACCGCTTGTGAGAGAGCCAAGAGGACTCTATCCTCCACTGCCCAGACCACCATTGAGATTGATTCTCTGTTTGAGGGCATTGACTTTTATTCAACTATCACTCGTGCAAGATTTGAGGAACTCAACATGGACCTCTTCAGGAAGTGTATGGAGCCTGTGGAGAAGTGTCTCAGGGATGCAAAGATGGACAAGAGCACTGTTCATGATGTCGTCCTTGTCGGTGGCTCTACCAGGATTCCCAAAGTTCAGCAGCTTTTGCAGGACTTCTTCAATGGAAAAGATCTGTGCAAGAGCATCAACCCCGATGAAGCAGTTGCCTATGGAGCTGCTGTCCAGGCAGCTATATTGAGTGGTGAAGGAAATGAGAAGGTTCAAGATTTGTTGCTTTTGGATGTCACCCCATTGTCTTTGGGTTTGGAAACTGCTGGAGGTGTCATGACTGTTTTGATTCCAAGGAATACTACCATTCCTACAAAGAAGGAACAAGTGTTCTCTACATATTCGGACAACCAACCAGGAGTCTTGATTCAAGTTTATGAGGGTGAGAGAACTAGAACCAGGGATAACAACTTGTTGGGTAAATTTGAGCTGTCAGGCATTCCTCCTGCTCCCCGTGGTGTTCCCCAGATCACTGTTTGCTTTGATATTGATGCCAATGGTATCTTGAATGTCTCTGCTGAGGATAAAACAACTGGGCAGAAGAACAAGATTACCATTACCAATGATAAAGGAAGGTTGTCAAAGGAGGAAATTGAGAAGATGGTTCAAGAAGCTGAGAAATACAAGTCGGAAGATGAGGAGCATAAGAAGAAGGTTGAGGCGAAGAATGCTTTGGAGAACTACGCCTACAACATGAGAAACACAATAAAGGATGAGAAGATAAGTTCAAAGCTATCCTCTGAGGACAAGACAAAGATTGATAATGCAATTGAGCAGGCCATTCAGTGGCTTGATAGCAATCAGCTTGCAGAGGCTGATGAATTTGAAGACAAAATGAAGGAGCTTGAGGGCATCTGCAATCCAATTATAGCAAAGATGTATCAAGGTGGATCTGGTGCACCTGGTGACGTCGATGATGACGCACGTCCACCAGCTGGTGGCAGTGGTGCTGGCCCCAAGATTGAGGAGGTCGATTAAATTACTAGCTAGGTTTAGTAGGAAATAATGTTTCTTAAGTTTGTTTGGGTTTAGGTTATTTTAGAATTTTATTTCATGGATTCTATTGCTGTTTTCAATTTCACCATCTGTTTCATAATTGAAAACTAGCTCGTTTTGCAAATTAATACTTTGGATTAACATAATTTTATGATCAAATCCACCATTTCTGCATAGTGATGTGTTATTATTTATTACACGTGAAAGAAAATAATAATTGGAGTTAACGTCAATAATAGCTAGAAGTAATTGTGGGTTAAATAGAATTCACCCTAGGATTATATTCTTAGAAATGAAATATTTTATTGTACTGTTTTTATGTTTTTTTAAATGTTTCTGTGCATAAATGAAATTGTCATTTTTTCTTTAATTTTTCCTGATCTTACTATTTGCATGAAATGTTTGCATCAGTCTTGGTTGGTAGGAGGATGAAATCTAGGATTTAATATATGTTTTGACTGTTGAGAGTATCTTCCATTAAAATATTGATTATAGATTGTCTTTTGAGCTAGCTTCAATGTATTTATTGATATACTCATTGCGAAACTCATAAATCCTTTCAAATCTTAAGATTGGGGGCCCTAATGAGTTTCATTACGAAACTCGTCTAAAACTCATTATGTTCTACGTGAAATTATTGGAATTATCTTTCAATCAGATGGAAGAAAAATATATGATTGTTTTTTTTTTATATGGATGGATATAATATTCACCATCACATAAATTTTTGTTGTCGACTTTCTCGATGAAAGCTTAATCACTAGTTAAGTAGTGTTTGAGGGCATCAGTGTAATCGAGAACAATTTAGGAAAAATAATAGTCAAATTGGATTTTCGTCTTCTTTTTCACTCATTACAATTGACATATTTCGAGATGAATCTCTTCATTTTTTAATCTTTTTTTTAGCGTTTTTTTTTTCTGCTTTTTAATCAATTGCTACCCTCAAATCACTTTTTTTTTTCACTCTTCAACAATATATATACATACACGGACCCAACACAAATAATAAGAGAATAATTTCTTCAAATTAAGCATTTATCTCCTCTTCTATGTAGAATAATGTGAAATATTATAAAATTTTGCTTTCATGGATTGCACTGAGTCGGTTGTTTGCTACAAACCAGCACACTATGCAAATTATTACTTTGGACATTAATTTTAGTATCCCATTCTGACATATTTCAATATCAAGCCGATTTAGATAGATTAATGGTATTTATACACCAAAATATTACGTCATATTCTCACCTTTTAAGCTTACAACTATTATAGAAAGTATGTATTGGAATGTTTTTGCATATTTTTATGTTATCATTATTATAAAATGGAAGTAAAATGGTGAAAGAAAAATTAATGAGGTAGGCAGGACTTGCACAATCTTTGGTACAATTATGCAGTTAGAATTTCTGAAAGAGCTCACCCTGTAGTATTTAAAATCCATCAAGATGTACTCATGCATAAATCAACTTATAAGTTTGTAATACAGTAGTAAAAAGGCCAAACCTGCAAGGGACTGCACTATTCCTTAAGTGAATGCCTTGCACAGTAACAATTGATCAAGAAAAATAAATCGAGTACAAGGTTAAAACAACTAATGATACATGTCAAGATGTGCTGTCTCTTTCGTGAGTGGCTGCATATCTAGAGCTGACAAAAATTTATACATGAAAGCAGATCTGACCAAGGACTCTCATTTCTATTTTAGCCCACTAGAGGTTGAAACCTTATTTATGACCTCCTCCTCCATTTCGACTAGTTGACTACAGAACATTTCAATATCGTTTGCCTCTTCCTTGAACATGAACCTGAATTGTTTCCACTGTTGATCACCAATGCCATCCTTCAAAGCTGGACTGGTGACTTTCGCCAGAACATCAAAACCCTTGCGATCAATGGACGTTATATATGCATCCTTAATACAACATCAGTGGTGGATGTTAGTTCTTAAAATTATATACAACAGAAAAGTAAAGGAATGGATATGGGCACTATATGTGTAATTGCCATCAACTTTGTCATCAGATGAGTGGCATAAGTTGATAATCATGAGTTCACAGTTTCCATTTAATGTTGTTACGATATAATATTGGGTTTACAGATAACATATTTGAAGTTCTTTAGATGAGCACGGTACAAAACCAGCAAACCAAAAGAAACTATAGAAGTTCTACCATAATAGAAAAAAAAAAAAAAAAGACATGCATCAAAGTTTTTCATTATCTCGGTACAAGGATGTCCAATCTAAATTTTGTAAAAGTAATTTGGCAATCTACTTATTTACTGATTCTAAAATGCTTTGAAGTTCTCCATTATCTAAGAATTATTAATGTATGTTGTGACCACACTTGTAGTTCAGAAGGATAGCAATTGGAAAACTGCAGAATTGAGATATTATACTTATAATCAGAATCGTTAAGTTACCTTGGCATTAGCATCCTTGTAAACAAAACAAAAAAGCATGAGAGCTGTTCGTCTAGCCTCACTTTGGTTGATCCCATCAATAATCTTTGCTGAAAATGGTGCTGAATGAGAAACGAGATGTTAATCTTTTGTAACACAAATAAGAGATATACTACTTTTATGCATTTCAAATCTAGTATTTACCTAATGGATCAGCTTTGGATGTTTCCAAATCTTCAATACCCACATCGAAAGTGCTTCCAAGCCCATCAATAAATGTGCAGGATCTAAGCATTTAACTCTTATATTAGATTGAACAGACATTTGCAGGTATATTTGGAATTTAGTTTTTCGAGAGGAGGACAAATTTTTTTATTTCTAATAAATATTCTATAATTTGACGACTTTTTAAGTTAAAGAAATAAAATTATAGATTACATAAATTTTTACTGTGTTAATTTTTTGTTTATTTTTATAAACATTTACAATTCTCTTAATTTAAAAATAAAATATTTGTCCTTCTTCCCTTTCCCTTTAAAACTCAATTATTAAAAATAAAGAGGTACCTAACTCATCCTTACAAAACTAGTTTGTAAGGTGAAGTTTGTACCTCAATTATATATTATAAGTGGATCATATTTCTAGATGATGTGGGATCTTGAATGCACCCCTCACACCAAGAAATGAACATCTTGAGAGTATGAAATTGAATATGAAGGATAATCCGATAGTGAGTAGAGTAATATGCCAACAAATCTCATAAAAATAAGTTTTGATATATTATAAATTGACTTAAAACTAATTAGCATTAGGTGAAATTACCAAACACATATATATTCCGTACCCAGAGAATTAAGGTAGGCGATCAAATACTCTCACTTGACTAAGGAAAATTGGATAGACGATGTGGGATTCCCCACAACATCTTCCATCGATTAAGAAGATGCCTACTCCAATAGGCAAGACAAAGAAGACTTTGATAACATGTCATATTTCAACTTAAAATCATTTAGCAATAAGTAAAGAGCCTACAAATATATAAACTGTACCCGAAAAATTAAGACAGGCAATGTATGACTCTTTCTATCATCCCCTTCAACTAAAGGCGAGACTAAGAAGGCTATGAAAGTATATTAGAAATGGAGAGATAGGTAACTCAACCCTATAAAACCGATGAGGTTTGCACCTCAATTATATATTATAAGATTTTTTAGACTCTATTGTAGTTTAATGAAGGTTTTGATCATATTCTATGGTACAGGATGAGAATAGTTTTCTCGAATTGATTAAATGACTTAAGTAAAAGCCCTAATAGCATATGCACTCGAAACAAGACCATGGTCAACTATCCATGCAATGCAACATATTAGATGAGAATAGTTTTCTCGAATTGAATTAATGACTTTAGTAAAAGCGTCACTAGCAGACGCACTCAAAACAAGACCATGGTTAATTATCAATGCAATGCAACACATTAGACCCTTTAACAATTTTTTTTTCTTTTTTAATTCTAATATCTTTCAAAGTCATCATTACTTTAGTGAATTATATAATATAAGAAATAAATTCATAACCCATGCGATGCATGGATCACTACACACTAGTAACCAAGTATTTCCAATTCACCAAAACTTTATCAACTTAAAATTTGTAAATCCAAAAGTTACACATAAGGAAACTAAACATAGACAACGCTCATTCTCCCTCACCCTTGATTGTGTGTGTAATTCTAGTTTTGTTCTATAAAAAATTGATATTGCACATGGTAAACTAGTACAAGGACAACCATCCAGGAATCAGGATAGGTGAAGGAGTCAACCTAGGTTCTAGAACCTGATTGGAGCTTTGCATTCAATTAGTGAAATAAAAATTCAAGATATAGATTATTTGGGGGATCAACTCAAGATTTAAGATAAAGAGTTAAACATACAAGTTCTTACCTTATTTGAAACCTATATACAGTGTATCTTTCATTGTCTCCCAATAGACCCTGAAGACTATCACTTCTTGATGTACTGCTCACACTGGAACTTAGTACTCCAGAAACAGTGTAAGTGAACTCTTTGATTGCTTTTTGCTCAGATAGTATGACTTCCTGAAGTTTTTTTCCAAGAGACTTAGCCTACACAAAGATCAATAACTTATGGAAAAATCAAGAACAACTCTACAGCATTATAGAGAATTCCCTTGTTGCTTGGTAATATATGAATAGCCCACCTTTCATAATATCTACCATACCTGCTTGTAGGATACTAAGTAGGACTCCAACACTTACATTAGAAACATAGATGGAGGAAAAAAGTGAAAAGTAACATTTTGCATCAGCACTTTGGTATTGAATCCATTAATTTACGTTTTCGAAAACCAAAGTATAGATTATGAAAAATAATATAAAGCTACATATTTTTAGGTACCATCTATACACATAATTATATTTATGTGCAGAAAGTGTCCAAAGATTATAATAATTTTCAGATAATTAAAAATCAAATATAAAGATACACAGAGAAAACAGTGTCCTGAAAACGCAGTTATGAACGGTATGGCCTTTATTAATTGTTAGATAAGGTAGAACTTGAATTTAAAAAGCTAGTATTTTACTATGTAACCGAGCCATAGTGTTATCTTGTCCAATTAAACCTTTACTTACATTGATCCTGCTGGGGATCAATTTTGCCCAATAAGATCCTCAACAAAATGCTTGAATGTGTGCAACTTAATCAGTTCAAATGATTGACATATAATAATATTTAAAATTTTGAGAAAATCATCATACCTTTAATTTTAAGTAACAAATAAAGGTCTATGGATCATGATGGAGAACTATAGATAGTTGTGATGATAAATCCCTTAATTTTTTATTTTATTTTTCTTTAAGTAATTATAATTATGAAGTGTGGCATATGCAGTAAAGTTTTATCGAAGCAGCAGCAATTAATTGACCATGTTATGAAAAAGCTACTAAGCTAAAAAATTAAAGATTTTCAGTTAAAAAGGACTGGCATTGTTTTGGTGAACTGTATCAGTTAAAAAGCCAGCATATACAAAGTTAGTGTGGCATTACCTTATCTTCTTTAAGAGGAAGAACTTCCCCAGATAAAGCAATCCGTGTTGGTAACTGCAGCATAGGAATAAATAAAGCAATTAGCTTATACCTTAATTTTCCAAATTATATGAGAAACTGAAAGCAAGCTCCAGTAGGACAAAAACCCTTCATTATTTTCTTTTATAGTGAATCAAGCTAGGGTATAAAAAATTTCTCTTATATAGGATAATAAAAGAAAACATATATATTGCATGCACAACCTTTTTCAATGATTTGAATAAGACTCCTAGTGGACCAGGAAAGGGGCTGGTCATAGCCAATGAACCACGCTCATCAATGATTGTGTTCTGCATACAACAAAAATCAAACCAGTCATCCCTGCAACTACACAATGTATTCAGATGATTTGTTACCACATCATTAATATGGGAAAAATGAAACTGAATACCAAAAACGAAAGAGATTTCATCCACTAGATGTAGCCTTTACATTTCTTGTTCCAAAATGTTCTACTACATTTCAGAGGAAAAAAAACAATAGAAACTAAAAAATGAAAAGCAGCATACCACATTATGCAAATCGTTTTCTGGCACCCAAAGGTATGGCTGTCCCCTTCTAACTATGTACTTAACCTTAGATGTATGGATATCCCCCTTGCTGTTGAAATCATGCAAACATAACAAAGACCAATTAGCATACTACTAGTGCTGCGATCATCACACGACATGCCTTATATTTTGACATATAATAGTCACAGAATGAAAGAAAACCATGTAGAGCATGTTAAGTTTTTCAAGAAGTTAAGGCGTGATTAAATATATGTAAGCTGTGAGTAGAGAGAAGAGGGAAAGCGGTTACCTTCCTTTGGCATCTGCTTTGATAGTATTAAGGGAACCTTGCCAGTTTGATGCCAATATATTCTGCATGCATTACGAAATAGCATATATAAGTTGAAATGGTGCAGAAAACGAATAATCTTTCTAACGCCATTGTGAGAAGGAAGGTAAGAAATTTGAAGAAAGAGAGAGTGAGGAAGAACCTTGCATTTCTCAGCGAATGTTAAGACCGTTGATTTGCTACGTCTCATGGGTCTGAAGTGTGCACACCACCTGCTCGATGAAATGAATCTGATCTACTGCGTTACGGTCTCAACCAAACAACGAACCAAATGTCTTAAACAAAATTCCTTAGGTATTAAATAAATAATAATTTTATGTATCAACCGATTTTCACATAATAATTTATTTTTAAAATTTAGAAATGCGTTTGTATGATTAGTTTAAAATATCCATAAAATAATTAAAAATAATAAATTAAAAAATCTTATAATTTAATAGATTAATAGAAATTACTTGATTACTGGTAAAATGCATTATAATATTATAAGTTATGAGATCATCTTATGCTAATAATTAAAATTTAAAGCAACCTTTGTAGAATTAATTTGTAATTTGTTCCTTTTTCCTATATTTTGTTAAACAAGTTGTGTAATTTGTTGAACTTCATTAAATAAGGTTTTTTATATTTTTAAAAATATTTCATATGAAAAATGATATTTTATTTTTTTATCTATTTAATATTCCATAAATATATTTTATTTTATTTTATTTTATATATATATATATATATATATATATATATATATCAATAATATTCTTATAATTAACATGTCAACACTAAAATAATATAGTAACTTTATGACTAAATTAATACTCTTTACAACATATTAATATAACGAACACTAAATTAATTGTTTTTAAATATTAACGTTAATATGAACAAATTTTAGAGGTATTACAAATATAAGATAAATACACAATTAATTTAATAAAATAAAAATATGCGTTGTTTATATCTAAATATAACTTTATCTTTGATTTTATCATAAAATAATGGTAGTTAAGACTTAATCAACTTAAATCAACGAAGATGTTTGAAATATTTTTACATATAAATGGTAAAACGAGTTTGGCTTTTCGGTTGACCTACTCATTAATATAATAAAGTGGGTTGGTGTTATTAGCTTATCAACTCGTTTTGATCTATCCTGCAAGCTCGTAAACTCGTCAGGTCAGTCCATGAAACAAGATGGGTCAACCCAGTAGAATAAGGTGGGTTAGCTCAGTGATTCGTCTAATTAATAAAAAAAATATTTTTTTATTGTAATATATTTAGTTATAAAGACAATATATAAAGTAAAAATTTGTAAAAAAAATTAAAAAAATTTCACTCATTATAAGAAATATTCTCTTTACTCAAACATAATATTCTCTCTTTATCCTCGTCTTCCTGTTGTTCATTATATCCTATCTCTTCATCTTGAATATTTATTATTATTTTTTTCTTATGACTTAAATTAAAGGGGTAAGAATTGCATGGGAACAATGTGAAATTTTATCAAATAAAAAAATATATACATATTTGCAATTTTTAATATAAAAATATAAAATTTACCGAGTTTTGACGTTATTTTATATATTTTTTATTATATAAATTTTATTATTGTTCTAAATTATAATTTCTTAGCACAATATTTTGATTTATATTATTAATTTGAAATATATATGTTGAATTATTGTTAAATAAATGATAATTTTATTATTAAATTTATAAAAAATTTGATTTAAAATTTTTGTTTTTTTTTAATTATGGTAGGACATACTAAGATCTACCGTCCATCTTGATTATAACGAATTCATTCCGCTCGTCCTTATTTTTGGCGAGCCAAAATAGGATAAATAAAAATGGAGTTGACTAACCCGTTTTATTATTCCTATTTTTACAAAAGATAAATTTTGTAATAGTAGAAAAGGGATATTAATTATTCTTACTAATCCTAAATAAATATTTATATTTAAATTGTATTAAATCAGCTAAAAGATTTTATAATATTATATATATTATTTTTATTGATCCTAGGTATTTTAGTGTTTAGTGTTGTATTAAGATGAAATTTGTAAAAATAGATGATACATTTTTAATACTTAATGACCTTAAATCAAGTAAGATGGCTGAAGTATATTTTAATCGTTATTATAATAATTTAATTTTTTTTAATATAATTTTAAAATATTTTTAAAATATGTATTAAAGAACGGATAAATAAATATTTTTAAATTAAAAAAATTAATTGTTTTTAAAAGTAAAACATTATACTTGTAAAAAAATGATAATGTATAAAACGTAGAATGCAGATAATAAGGAGACTGAGAATTGAAGTCTTTAAAATAGAGAAGTATAACCCTAATTTCCACAAACAAAATTTTATCAGACTCGCTGATAGATCTTTTGAAGTCAAGGATTCCTTGCTTAGATACTTCTTTTTTATAGAATTAAATTATTTTCTTATGGTATTCACTAGCATAAAATGATAATTTGCAAAAGAATATTCACCAAAAACTGTTCACAAACAAAATATACAATGATTCATCGTCTCCCTTACCTTTAAAACGATAAAGAAGAAAAGAATAAATGAGTTTATTAAACGTAATTAAAGCATTAGGTTCTTCTTTTGCTTTATTTTCATCCGATTTGCTGAAACCTTGATAAATAATTTTTTTATTTTACAATTATATATGTTTCTGATTTCACAGTAGTGAAATTGAGAATCAAAAGTGATGAAATCCACGGAAGAAGAGTGTTGTGAATTCGAGATGATGCAGAAAGATGTTCATGCCACTTTTCTTGAGTTGATGTACTATTTGCTCCCATCTCCGTACGAGACCCAAGAGATCAATCATCTCACCCTCGCTTACTTTGTCATCTCTGGACTTGACATTCTCAACTCTCTTCACTCCGTACGTACAATCATCCATAGAATGTTTTCGTTTTTTTTTTTTTTTTTTCTTTCTATGCTGTTATTGTTGTTGGCATTCCTTATTTTTCTTGTCTTTGTGTGAATTAAGGTTGCAAAGGATGCTGTTGTCAGTTGGGTTTTATCTTTCCAAGCTCAACCTGGTGCCAAGGCTGATCTAAATGATGGTATGTATCAAATGCACTTATTGGGTCGATTTGATCTCCAAAATTTGATTTTTAATTGACCCATTTGAAGGGTTTTGCCGCAGGACAGTTCTATGGCTTTCATGGGTCCAAAACTTCACAGTTTCCTCCAGATGAAAATGGGGTATGGAAAAAGTTTGAAATTTGAAGGTGCCAAAAGTTTTTTTTATTTAATTTTTTTTGTTGAAGGATCCGGATTTTTTTATTTATTTTTTCTTTTTTAAGGTTTTGATTCACAACAACAGTCACTTGGCCAGTACTTATTGTGCCATTGCCATATTGAAAATTGTTGGCTGTGAATTATCCAACCTTGATTCTGAGTCAATTGTATCTTCCATGAGGAACCTTCAACAGACTGATGGAAGGTATGGTTTTGAAACTTGGATTAGATCCATGGTCTTTAAGCCTATTTAATACTGAAATATGTAAAATTCACAGCAGTTTTTCAAATTGGCTGTAAATGGTTCCACAGGTTAATGTCAAGATTTATGCCCCTAATGATATACTTTAGTGCAATCATTCTATTTCTTATTTGTTAACTCCCTGATCTATGTTGACAGTTTCATTCCTATTCATACTGGAGGAGAAACAGATCTTAGGTTTGTATATTGTGCAGGTAAGAGAAATAAAGTCATAAAATGATGGTGCTAGCTATTTAATTGATTAATAATCTTGGAGTTGCTATATTATCTTTTAATTGATTGACTGTATCAGCTGCCATCTGTTTCATGCTGAACAACTGGAGTGGCATTGACAAGGAGAAAGCCAAGGCTTACATATTACGCTGCCAGGTATATGAACAGTGAACCTAGTGTGTCAACTGGTGATGGAATAAGAGAATTATCACAGGATTGTACTATATTCTGGACATACATTTTTGTTAAAAAATGTGTGTAAATTACTGAAATTGATGTCGTTTTTTTTTTCTTTTCTATGTTACAAGTCATATGATGGTGGCTTTGGATTAGTTCCTGGTGCAGAATCTCATGGTGAGTTGAAATAATCATTGATCACAATATAGACGAGATTCCATGTTGTGTGAGTAAGGCATTGCGATGTTGTTAGTTGCATCAAGTATTGAAATCTTTTCACTAAAGTTTATTTTTTATTTATTGTTCATCACATGATAGATTTGTTTGGTATATGTTTACATTAGTCTCGGTTGGTAGGAGGTTGAATCTATAGGATTTAATACTGATACATACTATCTGACAAGGATATATTTTCCTTTTAGAAGATACTCTTCATAAGATTTAAAGTTGTTTCATGAAATCCTACCCATTAAGTATGAAATTCGAAGAGTGTAAAGTCTTAGCCACTTGACATATTTTTCTTTCTTCTCCTTTGTTTGGCTGGACAGATTGGTTTGGACATTTGAGAGTATCTTTCATTACCATATTGATTGCGGATTGCCTTCTGAACTAGCTTCTGTTTTATTGATACTTTCTGTTATCATTGCAATTCAAACTGTGAATCATATATCATATCAAATCTTAAGACTGAGGGACATAATGAAGAATAGCTTAAAATATATCATGTGAATGATAGATACATAGTAGTCACATGTAATAAATTTAAACTAGAAAAATGACCAAAAGCCTCACAAAACAAAATCATGAGTAATAACTTTGTGTGAGAAGCCTCTGGTTTATGAGACAAACAGAGCAATGGTAAGGCTAAATACACAGGATTGAATTAGTGAGTGGGTGAGGGAAACCCTTATTTCATAAGAATGAAAATAGGACATCTGAAATGATCAATCCAAAAGGGTGTGTTTAGTAGTGCTCTTTTAGTTCATTTTGTTTAACAATTTAAGCTAATTTGACTTTTCCATTTTGTTTTATAAGAAAGGGTGAAAGAAAAGTAAGATATAAAACATAATGAATCTCTGAATCTTTTATAATTCATAATCGTGATAAGGAAGGAATAATATGATTAATTCATTTTTAGTAAGATTCAGTCATTTCTACATGTTATATGAATCATATCAAATTGTATGATTCAAATCATGAATCATATGATTCCAATAGCTATGGTAAACATTTCTTTTTTACTCTTGGGAGTATTCACTTACTAGGAGTGACTTTGTCAGTCTGTCAGTATCCTTGTTAACCAACTATTTGGCTGCTGTCCTGTATCCATGTACTTGTGGGCATGTTGTGGTTTTCATTGTCTAGTTACGTAACAGGCACAATGATAACAAACTGCTCATACCCCATTCAATTTAAACTTTATGTTCCTTATTGATTCTGGCTCTTGCCTGTTGGTTTTTTCTGTTCTGCATGCATCTTGAAAGGTGGCCTTCAACCATTTTTAATGTTTGTTAATTCTTAAATGATATTTATCAACATTACTTATTTTAGTGTCACAGGAGGTGCTACTTATTGTGCTATTGCATCTCTTCGTTTAATGGGACTCATTGAAGATAATATTCTCTCAACTTCTGTTTCGTCATCTTTGATAGATGTGCCATTACTGCTGGAGTGGATCTTGCAGGTTTGTACATAAGAACCTTTTCAATATAAGCTTACTAGATTATATTAGTTTGTAAACAAAAATATTAAACCCAAAGGTCATTTTCAAGATTGGTTTATTCTTATATTTTGTTTAAATAATGGCTTGATTATTTTCTTTATTGAACACTTTTGGTTAACTTTTAGTGTTTGAATAGATTGTCCGTGGATCAAGATTCATTATTTCTGTCTTCCTTTTCAGAGGCAGGGAACTGATGGTGGATTTCAGGGTAGACCAAATAAATCTAGTGATACATGCTATGCATTTTGGTAAGCTAAGTATGCACCCTTTCATCAATTTCTATGGTATTGCATTGTTTGTAAGTTGTCAAACCCTTGCATGCATATATATGTTTGTTAGGATTGGAGCCGTTTTAAGGATTCTAGGGGGCAGCAACTTTATTGACCAAAAAGCTCTACGTGGATTTTTGCTGTCTTGTCAATACAAGGTACAACATTTACCAGTGAGTTTTCCATGCAATGTTTTGTACTTTTTTAGGGGGAGGAAATTTTCTGAGGTATATTATATTTATAACACAAAAATGATAGGTAAAGTAAATAGTGATAGTGATTTAAATTAAACCTGATTTATGTCAAATTATTAAGGAAGACATAAGTTACTGCCTTTTCATTTCTTGTTCTTAATTTTCCTATTTTGTCTTTGACACAGTTGTCTAAAGATCATAGTATTTTATGCCTCTGTGTGTTGATTCTAGTTTTAAAAATTTGAATCCAAGAAGTAAAAGAGTATCTGTGACATGTCTGTGATGTTAAAAAAATAAGAATGTTCAGTTGGTGAATTTAGTCTTATTATCGAAAGAGAGGGCTAGTGTGTGAACAAAGAACTAGAAAAGATGAGTGCAATTATATTGACCAACTTTTTTATTTCTAGTTTGTGAAACTGCTATCTTATACATCCAGTTTTCTATGGGGTGATTGAAGCCCTCTCCTAGCATAGAAGAATTAAAAAAAGCTTCTTCGTTTATTTTATTTACACTCTCAAACTTATAATTTTACCGGCTTCAGTTACCTCTCTCCCCTCTACTAAATGGTAAGCAGGGCAATGCTAGCATATTTTATTTGGATCAAAGATACAAAGAATCAGGAAGTTAGTACTTTACATCCTTTTGGTTAGATAGGAATTGTGCTATTGGATTAGTATTTTAAATGAATGTTAAATTCATCTCAAGATCATTAGTTTTTCTATTTTCTTTTCTTCTCTAGTTCATGTCTCATATGGGGTAAACTATTTATGTGATTGCACTAGTTTAGAAACTCATATTTTAGTGCTTATATTTTTTTTTGGGTTTTTTTACCAGTATGGTGGTTTCAGCAAATTCCCAAGGGAGGATCCAGACTTGTACCACTCCTTCTATGGATTTACTGCATTCAGCTTATTGGAAGAATCTGGCTTGAAATCACTTTGTTCTCAACTGGGGATCACTCAGAATGCTGCAATGGGACTCTAGTTCAGAATTTCTAAAATCTAATGAGTTGTTTCAAAGAAATTAATGTTATTTAAATTTATACTTTCTATTACAATCTATCTAAATTTATAGTTTAGAAAGATTAATTTTATTTATATTAATATATTATGATATAATTTTATTGGAATTATATTTTAAGATAAATAAATTATTTGAATTTATATTTTTTAAAAATTAAAATAGTCTAATTTAGAAATAAAAAAATATTGATGTAGTTCTTTAGACGCTTTTGATATTAATTTTCAATTAGAAATGGAATTTAATTTTGGTAACCTATGCCGTAAATATTTTTGTTAAATATATAGATAGTATCAAAACTAAATTTTAATTATATTAAGAGAACAATGCCAAAAACATCGAAAACACCTGTATTAAAATTTGTTGAATTAGAAACTCTGAGATGAGAGTTTGCCTCCATTTATTTAGGTTTGGATCATGTTAAGATTCATCGTCTATATCCAAATTGAAATTATTTTGAATGATTTCACATCTAAAGATGAAATTAAATTTGTATCAAAGGATTTGACATCTCTCGGAATCAGCATAATAAGACACAACTGGGGCCAAGTTTCTGTAAGAAGAAAGTGAACATCTTTGTCATTTTTGTCTCTGATCTTCATTGGTGCATAGTGCCAGTAATTTTGAAGTTTGGCTACGTTTGTTGCATCCATATACATATTTTTCTACTAAAAATTTTCACCACAGTATTAAACTTCAGTTAAAGCTGCACTTGTCTATAGAACAAAACATCTTTGTTGCTAGAGAATCATGAGAGTAAAAGTAGTATATTCTAGTAAGTTGGCCAAGCATGAAAGTACTGTTTTACTTTTTGCTGTTCAATGCTTCCAAGTTCCAACTATTTTCTACTTCAGTAATAACAAGAATAACCTTTTTTTTTAAGATGACAGAAGAGAGGCTAAAAGGGTGCTGTTTGAATTGAATGTTAGGGAAAAAAAAGTCTTTGAAAACACTTTTTTTAATGCAGTTTTACAATGGGAGAAATTGATGTGAACCAATGAGAAAGTCAGTGAACAGAATTTCACTCAATAACTAGAAAAACAATATTAGATTGATGGTAGCGTTCATTGATGTGGTTTACTTGATGAATTAAAGTGAATTAATTAAATTTGCTCTGTATTATTAATTTCTATGCTAAATTTATATTATTTTTATGACAAAGTTATGATTTTTCATATTTTTTGAGTAAAATCTAAGAAGTATCTGTAACTTGTTAATTGCAGCACCCAAATTGAACCAAACTATTCATATTTAAATTAGTTTGATTCAAGTGTGATGATTTTATATATATAAAACCAAATAATTCTGATTAATTAAGATATTTTTTCTTCCTTTATAACCAAAGAAACCAATCATCTGTCATTTTGTCAATTATAAGTGTAAAATTAGACAAGACAGATTCAAAGGGGCAAAGAAGCATCTCTTGGTAGACCACATAGACAATAATATCAATGTATCTGAAAAAATCTAGATATTACTGTGTGTTTACTTGGAGGTTATTGACTGATTTATATATACGTGTACCTTCAATATGCAACACAAAAAGATGCCACAAAAGGTTATGCTTAAAGCCATATTTTATTCTTTACTCTGACCTGTTATGATTCTTCAACGTGGTGGTGGGGTTAGAAAAGATGGCACTTTCGGTCATGACCCACGACACATATTCACGGGCAATTGCACCTCTTCTTGTTGTTTACCAAAAAGCCACAAAATCAGAGTCTCACTTTTACCAAATTTGTCACTTAGTTCAGTGGTGAATTGGTCATTGTCTGAGCAATGTGCACATCAACCCTGCCTCACCACAAGCCCTTGTTTCATCTTCATCAAGTTTTGATCACACGGCACATACAGTTTTACAGTAAAAGTTTAGTGGGAAAATTGACTTGGAGACAAATATGCTGAAAAACATGACATGGGACAATGTTGGTATCACTTATGTCTCATTCACTAGCAGGCTAATAAAGAGAGGGAAAAAAAATAGCCAGACCCTGAAACAATTCTTTCAATGACCCTTACAAGACAGCTATTTGTATGCAAGAGGCTGGACCATCTCATATCAGATGCATCATTAAAATGGGAAAAAAAGTTGGGCATTGGAATTTAAATTATCCAACAAAAACAAAGTTTTACCGTGTTATATGCGAAGTTGATTACATAAATCATACCATGTCATTAAAGCTTAGATTTTTGGAGATATTTACCATGACACGACATTCTTTAAACAACTTTCCTCTTGATCTTTCTGTCTCTTTTCTCACTACCGAAGACTATGAAGTTTTAGTACAAAAAAAAAAAAGTTTACTATTTCATCAGACCCATCTTCAAGCATTTATGTGCTGAAAATATGGTCCCCCATATGGTTATGAAACATTGAGAGTAGTACATCTCACAACTGGCTTAGCAGATTAAACCATAACTGCATCCCAAGACAACTCAAGGGGAGAAACAAATTCCCATTACGAAAAAAGTGGAGTTGTTCAACATGTAATTAGAAAGATTAATGAAGCAATAAACTCATAATCGACTTGACGGAACTTTGGTGTTAGCTGGTTTCTTTCTTCTGGTTTGGTGAATGTGTCAAGACGCTAAGGGGAGTACCTGTGAAGTGCTTGAATGGTACTGTGGTGGACGAGAGTGGTGATTAATCTCTCGTTCTGTTCTCTTCTCAACAACTATTGTGATGAAAGAACCTTCAACCTCAGTTCCATTTCCCTTATTTTCATCTTGTTCTAGTTTTCTTCTAAGCTTCTCCTCTGCTTCCTGTAAGAACTTGAATTTTGGAGGAGGTGAGGACTTTAATCTGTTGAACTCAGCATCAGTTGCTGTTTCAAAAAGAGGGTTGAACCCACGCTGGTTATAAGGACTGATAGGAGTAGTGAAAGGAGGAGTGAAGAAAGGTGGAGAAGAAGTAGGTGTCATGTATGGTGTCTCCACAACTAACAAATCACCCAAGCTTCTACCCCTTGAACCTTTTCCACTCTTGTCACACTTAGATTTGCCGTCATCAGATTCTAAATCTTCCTTTGATTCTTCTATTATGGTGAACAAGAATCTTGGAGGACCTAAGAGGTCCTGTTGCCTCATGTATTCTGCATCCATGCCATCCTCTCCAAAGGGCTTGAAAACAAAGTCCTTGCCACTTTGAGAATGAACTTGTTCTGGATCATGAACAAGGCTGTCACCAATTCTCATTGAAGAACAAAGCTCAGGAGGAGTGAAACTTGTTTGCCTCAAAGAAGATGATGGTGATCTTTTCCAACAAAACATGTAGAATAACTCCTTCACAGGGTTGCCATAATCATTCTCAATCTCTCTGTTGGTTATCCTCTTCTTCCACCACAGCAAATAGTAAACCTCAGCTACCAGAGCCAACAGAAGGCAACCAAAAATAATACTGAGACCAAGTCCTACACTACTCAAGGATTTCATCTTTGTTCTCAAATCGCATTGAAAACGCTTGAACTTGTTCAACCTCCCGAAATGCTCAATGTTCAAACCAATCTATATCTAACCCAGAAAATCACATCAAACAGACCAGTAGGCTACAAAAACAAAATCAAACCAGAGATTCAACAAAGAGAAGACACATATGAGTTCTGGAAAATCTTATGAGCAATTAACTAACAGTCTCTCAACTTTATCTTCAGAATCTGAATTCAAGCACTGAAAATGTGGATAATCTTTTTTACTAAAATTCAATGTATGAATGTACTACTGTAACTACATCAATGACTACATTCCCTCCCACCTATAAAGCATAGCATAATGACAAACCTTGGTTGCAAATTGCAAAGCCTCTCAGAACACCAATCTGCTAAAAGGGGCAACCAACCAAAAAGCTCTCTTTCCCTTGAAAGCAACACATGCAAATCATAAGCATAATAAGCCCATGGGCCCTTGATTTTAACCTAACCCCATATGAGATTAAACACCCTAATATGGATTAGTCTCATCATTAGCCTCAAAGAATGTAATGCAACACTTTTAAACAGGTGAAAAGAGAAAGAAAAGGAAAGATCCCCTAAACCATAAACCACTTTGGGGGTGCACCAAAACCAGGAGCCAGAAAATAACTATAGAGAGTGAGTAAGTACCTGTCTGGCTTATGGTTGGAGGGTCTCGTCCTTCGAGAGAGACTCACATGGGATCCAAAAAAAAAAAAACACACACACACACCATGAAAGTGACATGTCACATTGTCACTATGTCATTGCATATCTAATGTAACTTGTAATATAAGATCCTTCAAATAAGGGAAGATTTCATTTCTCCCATAACTCTAGTTGGTACTCGTGGTGTTATCTTATGGAATCACTGACAAATTGGAGGGACAATGATTCCATATCTGAAAGCTTCCTACTATGCTTAGGTTTTTAAAATCTTAATCATGGTATTTGTTGAATGCTTTTTAGTCTAGCATGATTTTTTGTTTTGACAGAAAATGTTATTTGAAAGTGAAGCAATGTTGCTATCACTTCCCTTTGATTTTCTAGCTAGATCATGATGCTCCAAAGCAACAACTAAAATGGCGGGAGAAATTATCACTGCTTTGTTAATCAATTAATTGAATAATTGATATGCTATGCATTTGGGACATGAGTCCTACATTTTCATCCGATCCCTAATTTCATGGGATAACATCTAAAATTATATTAGAAGATGGGCCACAAAACCCTAGGATGTGTCAGTCAAAGCAAGTTACGGATTTTATGTTGTTTCTATTATTTTATTTTTGTGATTTGTAATTAATTAATTAATTAATCAAACCATTTGCCCTTTACTTAATAAATTAGTTATATTTCGTGTAATATCAAACAGGAACAAATTAAAGCAACCTGTGTTTATTGTACATTAAGAGTTAACATTTATTTATTTTTATGTGCCACCGACATATATATTTTGTTTCAAGAAGACAGAAGACAATGCCTGTGAGCTTTTGAGGTTAGTTTGGTTGGTTATGAACTTGTGATTTCTCTGTGCACATCAAGTTAACATAAAAACAATAATCGGTTCTCGATCACCCCTTAGTTCCTCTTTAAAATTCATAATTATGGATTTATTTCAATTCTATTTTTATAAGTAAATTTGTCAACTTTTTCACTGAGATTGAATATAAAAGTTGGGGTTTCTATTTACAAGAATTATTAGAGTTTTATTTAAAGAAAAATTAAAATAGTACAACACAATTGAGAATTTTAAAAAATTAGAATTGACTTGGAACATGTCACCCCATCTAGTTGTTACATGTAAGTTTATGAGTGGAGGATACTTCTTAAATATATTATAATAATAATAATAATAATAATAATAATAATAATAATTAATAAATAAATAAAATAAAGATAACTTTTTTGCATATACTAAAATGAATTTATACATAAAAAAATAGAAATATATAAAATAAATCTACTAACACTTACATAAGCATATGGATACAACATTTAAAGAATGGTATATGAACTACGTGCTTTTAATGAATGAAATATGTTTAATTTGCAAAATAAATAGATTGCTTTACAAATCTAAATAATAATCTAAATAAGAAAATCTATCGATTTGGAAATTTTTTTTTTCGAGATAAAATCCACCTAACTAGAATCTGTTCAATAAAATTAATTTATTTTTAATTTGGTACTTTTTTGTTCAGAACATTATGTTTCAAGATGGCGAGCTGTCATGTGAGAAAATGACTGGATTACGAGGACTATATATTCTCTTAATTGATAACCTGAATATTTAAACTTTTATGAATATAATTATATATTGTCGAGGTTTCTCTTTTGGTTTTTCTCTTTTCTATCTTCTATTTTGGTGTTAAGGCAAAAAAATCTTCGGTTATCTGAATATTTGTGTCATTAAATTGATTTGTATTCACTAGGATATCATTTGTAGTAGGACAGAGTTAAAGCTAGGAGAGTTATGAGAACTCTCGATCCTGTGAATCTACCTGTGTGGGTTAAGGAATACTTTGCATATAGCGGCAGTCTTTACAAAAATATTTTCTTGTATATCTTTTTATTTTTCTTTCTTGTACATCTATTTTATTTTCTTGTTAATTTTCATGATATAAAAAAAATAAAAACAAAACAAAAATTAATAAAAACCAAAAAGATTTTCTTTTAAGCCTTATGATTATCCGTATTCTTTTATAAATATTACTTTACGAGTGTATTCTATGGATTCCCTTATTCTCCTCCACTTATCTGCTGTTTTATTTTCTATCTCACTCTTTGATTTCCTGCTCTCTTTTTTTTAAATTTGTTTTATTTTAAAATTTTAATAGAAGTATACAAAGTCTGCCGTCACTTTTAGGCAAAGACTACAAAACAGGCTCTTGCAGCTGTCGAACAAATTACAAACTCTCCTCTAGTGGGATACAAAAAGCCTACTTCAGAAATAGACTTTACACACAATCCTTATTGGACAAAACAATACGATAATAGCATTTTTAGAAGAAGTGTCTAGAAAATTAACTTGTTTAATAGATTTGAACAAAAATACAAATAAGTCGAATGAGATAGACGATCTCAGGCAAAGACTACAAAACAGGCTCTTGCAGCTGTCGAACAAATTACAAACTCTCCTCTAGTGGGATACAAAAAGCCTACTTCAGAAATAGACTTTACACACAATCCTTATTGGACAAAACAATACGATAATAGCATTTTTAGAAGAAGTGTCTAGAAAATTAACTTGTTTAATAGATTTGAACAAAAATACAAATAAGTCGAATGAGATAGACGATCTCAGGCAAAGACTACAAAACAGGCTCTTGCAGCTGTCGAACAAATTACAAACTCTCCTCTAGTGGGATACAAAAAGCCTACTTCAAAAATAGACTTTACACACAATCCTTATTGGACAAAACAATACGATAATAGCATTTTTAGAAGAAGTGTCTAGAAAATTAACTTGTTTAATAGATTTAAACAAAAATACAAATAAGTCGAATGAGATAGACGATCTCATTAATCAAGTTTCTAAATTATCTTTAGGAATCAACACATATACAAAGACAATTTCTAAGAATACTCAAAATTTGTTAAAGTGACAACAAAGAAAGAATAAGTCTCTTCTTCTAAAAATAATATTAGGAGTTAGTTATGTTTACATAACCCAATAACTCCACACAAACAGAAACTGTTGATATGAATAGTACAACAGATTCTAATCAAACACAAAGATTTCCCGGAGTTCCCAGAAGACTAAGGGAACATCAAACCAGGAGTCAAAATCTGATACAACATCCACGAATTTTAGATAGATTCCTAAACAGACAAAGATCTACTAATGTCAGACGTTTAGAAGACATAGTAGATATACAACAAAATACTTAGATAGGATCAAATACAGGGATAGATTCCCTTAATCCTAAACAGTTATACAATATTGGTTGGTTAAGCTTAGAAAGGATGAGCCTTTACCGATATAGAAGAATAGAAGATTTTCATCTTCCAGACAACACTTATGAGATAATTCATCTGATATCTCAACAAACTGGTAGGCAACTACTAGGTCAACAACGAAGATATGTCCATATGGGATTGATTACCATTGGAGTTAGATCATTGGCTAGGCATATGATCGGAGCTAGAGCTTTGATAGTTCTACATGACTCTAGATTTCAAAACAATGATTCACAAAGTGTGATAGGTATTTTAGAGGTAGATTTAAATCAACATTTTTTATTGATATACCTTGCACCAAACTTTACACTAACACTTCTAGATTTTGTTAACCATATAAGTCTAAAAGTACAAACAATAGAATTTGGATCCAATTGGGTGGGCGAAAATCTATATTTAGACATCACCTTCATTGGAAGAATTAGTAATTATATTTCTTCTATGTATAGGATAGACACAAGACCATTAGAGGAAGTTATCAGCTCTCATGGTACACAATTTTTGTCAGCTCAAGCCTTCACAAGGAGAAATGAAGGACATTTATAGTAAACACACTTGCCAAGGGAAGAAAATAATCTCATTACTACCCCTTCATCTGCTATTTTGCATAACAGTTCTAGATGACTTAGTCTAAGCTTTACAGACTATAGAAATATATCACGACCAGACCTAAAACAAGATAAGTCAGTGGAAAACAGACATAACACCTCTGTTATTCTTGACAACGAAAACATTTCTATGATGAATTTCATAGAATATGAGGAAGAAGATGATGATGATGACATGACTGATGAAGAATGGAATCATCATTAGGCTATTATAGCCATGTACAGATAAGGAACTTTAGATTCTTTGTCCCAGACAAATGAAAATGTCCAAATTAATGAAAAGGATGATATCATTAATGAAATGGATGATATTATAGATATATTTTTAGATAATCTGTGTCTAGAAGAAGAAAATGATACATTGGATGATGTATCCAAAGTCCCAGATCCCTTGTCCATAATAGGGTTAGTTAACACAAATAGTGGTACATTGGATGATGTATCCATAGTCTCAGAACCCTTATCCACATTAGGGTTAGTAAATACCAATGTTGGATCAAATAATTTCCAACCCCATAGCTATCAGCTAGAACCTGATGGTGTACAAAGTTATTCAATCGGTTTTTTGTCAAAGAGAATCACCACAAAATGTTGTTTTTAGTAACAACCAATATACAACACAAGGTAAAAGACTCTCGATTGAGCCAAATTTTCAAATATTTAACCTTCTTCTAAACATAAGGGGAATAAATCTCAACTATTGCCGACATATATTGAACAATGAACAACAACCGTAATTTGTGATTATGACATACATCACGAGAAAGATGTTCAATCTTCTCAAGAAATGATTGCTAAAGGCAAAACCTATTTAGGTAACATAGCCAAAGCATGTTAGGAATCTTTCAAAAAGGATTACCCAGCTGATTTAAATATGTTAGTGATCAACCAAGTCCTAACATATACAATTTTTGTTCTCTTTTACAGAGATTACTCACTTTCCAATCTGCTAATGATGGAAATACACTTAGACAACAAATTTATCTAGGTCATCTAGAAAGACTTTTCATAACATA